CCGGCAGTCGCACTTGCGACCATTCGGCCAACGAGGCAGTCTGCTATCATTCAAGTGAAATTTATACATCTGTCTACCCCTTTGGGAAATATATGAGCTATTATGCTGACTAAGCTTCAGTTTTAATAAACCTATTCGCTTTACCTTCTACGTAATACTAAAACCATTGTGTGGCTACCATTTAGTGTACCTATATAGTAACTTATTTGGGCAGATACATCGGGAATGAAAAAATCAATTATGTCATATTACAACAATTTATTTCAATTACAATTTATAACATACAAGACAATTTTTAATGAAAAAAGAAAATAAAACTTTAAACCATGATTTTAACTAATCCATTGTAAATCAATTATACAATTAGGTATTATTTTTAAGTATAAAAGTTTTTTTTGTTTTTTTTTAACATTCATATTATGTTTCATAGACCATAGATTACAACTAATTCAACTGAAGAATTTTAACCTACACGCTCTTATTTAATGTGTAAAGAAACATCTAGCATGCACGGCAAGATCTTTATATCCATAATCATAGAAAAAAAAAAATCTGTGCATTTAGTCAAAAACAATTATTTTGTACTTAAGCACATCTATGAATATAGATTTAACGAACAATGAGACAAGAAACTCAAGTTGCTCAAGTCAAGACTGAGGACACCGAAAAATTCAAAATGTCTGCTCTTCATTTACTCTTCAGAATAGCAGACATCAATTCGTTCTTCAGCCTCTTTGTCATTTCTTCTAGAATGTCAGCTCGAACTCTCAACTTCTTATTTTTCTCTTCTAGTTCATCAGCTAACTGTTCCATCTGTAGCTCCTTGAGTTTCCTGTTCATTCGAGACCGTTTAGAGGCTTCATTATTCTTATCTCTTAATTCTCTATACTTAAACTCTTGTGTAGAGATAGACGAAGAGTTCTCGTCTACACTACACACCGAGGACACAGTGCTCTCCCGTCTTTTAGGGGGGCGTCCTCTTCGCGCCTTGGGTTGACCTTCTAGTGCTAGAATCATGTCCTTGATTGGAACACTTGGTTTCCTTCTTTTATATTTCCTGGATGGCTGTTCAGTATACGGTGTGTAAGTCTCATCGGATTCATCGCTGTCTTGATGTCTTCTCTTACTTGCGGTAGATTTGACGTCATCATTGTCTGATTCCATGTGAGATTCGCTTTTTGGTGTGATGGGCTCATAGTCGACTTGTGGGGGCGGCGGTGTGTCCAATTCTGTGAATGTTTCCTTTGATGTAGACAGAGAGAGGTCCGTGTAGGACTCCCTCGAGGCGGATAGAGAAGCGTTGTGGGCCGTCCAGTGCTCTTGAGGTTTCTGAAACAATGAGAAATAAAATTAAATCGACTGATAAACCATAAGCACCATTATAAATTACATAAGTATACCTAACTAATCGCCATGAAATTCAACATCAAATCAGTTTAAACACTTACCAAGGGCTGTGTGCATTTTTCTTTTTCTAGTTGCTCCACATAGCTGAGCACTTCAGGAGTGCTGATGGTGTCGAATGGCCAGGCGGGCGCCCGCGCCGACACGTCCACGGACAGCCCCTCGACACGCCTCGGCATCGCCGGTTCTTGCATTGCCCCCATTAGGTCTTGGTCTTCGTTGATGATGAACTCGGAAACAATTACGTTGTTGCTTTCCACCTCCCGTGGGATGACGGATCCAAATTTAAGATCAAGGGAATCTTCTGCATCGATGAAGGGCGCTGTGTTGTGAGGTGGATTGGTGTACATATGATAATATTGGGTGTCATGTGTGTTGGTCAACTCTACTGGATCCCGGACTTGCCACGGATTAGTATCAGCGACCGTCTCAGACGGTAAGTCTCCAATAACCACTGGCAGTCTGCTAATGTCTAAGAATGTTTCCTTAAACTGCACGTTGTTGGTATCTTTATCCCATTCTGGGAAGGTAGGCATGTTGGCGTCATACTGCGGGAACTTTTCGTTCGGCGACAGTGGTTCATGCGGGGAGATGTTATTGTATAAGCCTGCCTGTGGAAACTGGGAGTTAACGTCTAAATTTTCCCAACCTTGCGGTGAGAATTGTGTGTATGGTGTGTCGATCTTAAGTGCCCTTTCTTCAGTATTCTTAGATGAATCTGTTTGAGAAAAAACACATTTGGTTAATTTTACGTGAAATTACATAAAAATATTATTAAGTTTCTGTTGGTAGGTCCTAATCATTTTAAATATTTATTGAGTGATTGACTCCATTGTGATTCAAATATAAATGAAACAAGAAAGGGTTAAATTAAAATATGCTTACCAATGGTCTGTACTACTTCTTCCTTTGCGGGAACGCAGGACAACGGAACCAGATCTTGGAAGAACTCGTAGTCCGTTTCGTGAAACATTGCGCTCTCGAATAGGGGCTCCGATTTCAAGTAAACCTGAAAACAGATTATGTAATGTTAGCACGTGTTGTAAATTGTGAGCAGAGCCTAAAAATTAACTTATTATTAATAATAGTAATGCATTATATTAGTACTCACGGTTTCGGGTGCCATTCTTACCTCTGCAAAGCTGCTGGTTGTAGCCACTGGCGAAGACGGAGCTGCGGTGTTTGAATATCCGTCGGTAATCACTCCGTTTAGACCGTTTACGCAGTTCTTCTTCTCGTTCTTTAAACGATCTAGCTCTACCACTTTCAAAACAGTTTGAGTATTGAGACTCGTTTGCGAAAAAACCATGTCTTTTGGTGTTCGGATCGTACTGAGTTCCGATATCGTCGCTCCGACTCGGACAGGTGATCTTTTGAGCAACCATTTTGAATAGAACTACAAACAGAAATGATACGACGTAACATAATGTGTGCATACTCATATGAAGCGGGATATAGGGTGTGGTAGGACAACATACAAGGGTTGTGACGGGAATAGCAAATGATAATTAAATGATTTCGCTGTCCTTGCCGATGTTTGGAACATCACACTCGTGTAACGCTCCATCATCAGTAAGTCAGTTAAATTGTTTTAATTTGCACAATGAGATGGACAAATAAGAAGAGACTTCGGAATAATCAAGATAAAATCTTGTCTAAACAAAGTAATTATGACGTTCTCAACTGCTGTCGTGAGAGGAAGGTCGCAACCTTGAAAATCGAAATACCAATGAGAATGAGTTTAGAGTAGGTATATAAACATTTATATAAATTATGAATGTTATAATGGAGTTGTAATATAGCATAGAAGGAATGATGATTGCATAAATATTTAAAAATATAATAAATATGATTAAAAATTGAAAATTCGACAAGGAACAACATTTTTTCAGCTGCCGTCGATTATGCAATCAACATAATGTCACCTGCCCTTAAAATTTTGTCGATGTGCTAGCAATAAGTCATGTCTCATTATTTCGGTTGCTAATTTTTAGCATCTAACCGAAATATTTCCTGTAGAGCGTTAGTAAAAAAAACTATTATATATACAACTTATCTAAATTAAAATTAATTAAGCGTTATCTTATTGTCTCTAGACGAGACTGCGGTTTCATCTTGAAGCCACAACGATGCCATAATTATAACTTAATTACCTATGCTAGCTAGACTAGTTAATTTAGAACTAAAACTATAAATAATTCGTAATTAACTATTTTATGACTTATAGCTATTGTAATTAACTAAATATGACTAGTTTAAATATTGATAAAGTATACTTTACTGTCCCAATGTTCGAAATATCGATCGAACGCACTGTAGGTACTTGAAACTTTCTCTACCCTCTCTACTTCCTACATGTCTAAGTACCTACGGATTGTTTTGTAGGTGCGTTAATTGGAACTTGGTATCGACAATTATCGCGGAATATTAAGAGCAGGCTTAGTGCATATCATTGAACAAACGCCAACAAAAGGAATGAAGAAATGGTAAGAAGAATGAACTATGAAGGATTATTGTGGTGCCAGAAAATTATCAACGCGCCATTATTATGCACCTTAAAGAAAATCGACATCTGTAACTTTTCAAATTAGTAAGTTTTAGCAAAAGTTAACCAATTAGAACTTCTTATTTTTTTGGAATACAGAAGTAATTAATATAGTTAAAACTCTAGATTTTCTAATAAATCTTCAGAATTATTAATTTTTATATTCTTTCAATTCGAGAAAATTAACTTTTCAAATCGTTTAACATTTCTTTAGATTAATTTGAGTTGATGAGATAAATTTTTGGAATTCCTTCAGGGTTCGATATTTCCGACCGATGTGTCCTGGACCTGTGAACAAAAACTTTAATTTCGAAATAGGGTGAACGCTATTACTTACTTCTTTGAACTCTTCTTGAGCTCCTACTGAAATTTTAACTCTCTAGGCTCCCAACCAACAAACGGTGCCGACTGTAGGCCTGGAACAAGCAGAGGCGAGTTGTTACTATCAGTTTGTTCATTTGGCTTTTATAGCTTCCTATAAAGTTATCTAGTTAGAGCGACATACGACATTATCGCCTTTTATCATGACTGTCGATAAGGAGAACATTTTATGCCGTGCATGCTTAAGTATGATAGCGACTTTGCCTCAAAATAGTGTCTATTCTTAATCGCTTTGGTGGAAAATTGATTGAACTACCTAGGTACTTATCAGGCCGACCTTATAAGTACCATTATGTTATCGTAGGTGGACGCCTACAGAAAATATTGATCGCATGAGCTTTTTTGTAGGTACATACTTAGTTACCTACCTACTCAACAAAATTAGTCACCTTGTAATCAGACATTGTTATTTAAATATACGATAGAAAAACTTGTTTGTCTCAAGTCTCAAATGAATTCGGCTAAATGTCGAGGTTTGGCATATTTCCAACTTATTTCAGGATAAAACTAATCGAGTTAAAATAATAAATAGGTCGGAAGAAATAAAGGAGATAGGATGTAAGTCTAAGTGATTACCTATCGCCGTGTGTTCATGAAAATAGAATTATGTACCTACTTACACTAAATTAGACTTGCACAATAAGGACTTGTTCAACAAATCAAGTTCAACCACCGTGTTAGGCTTCTCCAATTATCTAAGACGCACACGTATAAGTATAGGTACAAAAACTACCAAGTCAATAAGGAAAAACCCCGAATACCATGTACCTACGTCATTCAATAGAGTATTTGTTCAGTTAAACAGAAAGGTAGGTATTATTTGTGCGTCATTCCTAACCACGTACGAAGAAAATCAATATTAGTTGTAATACTCTAATTTATTCTTAAGCATTTCCCGATATCCCGTTAAATAGTCATCTTTTGCATAAAAATTAAGAATACATAAGTTACTCCAGTAGTTCAAAGTTTATTAAGTTAAATTCAGGGTTATAAACAAGTTCAAAAGTTGTCCAAAATACGCCAAGGCTGTGAGTAGAATATATAGACTCATTAATTATACATTAGAAGGCTCTTATCGTCTCTACCAAATTATCGCGCATTTTCTAGAACGATGGTGTGGACCGATCCAATCGGCACTTCAACGTGACCGCGGGGCTTCTGACAGGTTGAAACATGTTCGCATGAGGAACATCGCAGTACTTTGTCGGCACATTAACTAAGTTCAAAATCAGCTAAAATACGCAAAAATCAGTCCTTTCATTTATTTTAATTGTAATTAGGCCATTTATAGTTAACTTAGGGCTTAGTAAAAGAAAAACCCTTGCATGAAATTATTGCACAATAATTAATTTTGTGACATGTACACTTATTCTAAGGAACATAATGTGATTTTGTTAAATAATCACGAGCCACGATTATTGTAAGTAATTTAAATTCACATTATTTGCTTATTACACAATTGTATTAACTTAAGACAAACTTTGGACAACTATATTTACTCAAAAATATTTCTAAAACTTACCTTGTTACGAACAAATATGTAACGCCTCCAGTAATTGAGTTAGAATTCGCGATCCTCACAACAAATGAAGAGGATATAAGGCGAAAACTTTTTAACGCGTGAACTTCTACAGCTTTGTTGATTAACTTTAATAAAATTTGTAAACCAAAAATCGCTTCAAGCGACACGTGCACTGCGTGCGAACACAGAAAATGTTGTGCAATGTTCACGGCTCGAGCGGCCCATACAGTTTTCCTTGATCCCCACCACTCAATATTTGCGTTCTAAAAATATCTTTCCTTACACGCTATTGGCCGTCTAAAATGACGTCAACTCATCCGGCCAATAGGATCGCACCATTACCACGGTCACGAGACCGAAGCGCTACACGTTATTATCTGTAGAGCATTATAGGAGTATACATTATTATTGTATGTATAGGTATATTGCTTGTTGGGGAATCACACCGCGCTAAACAAGAGGGATACTGTTTTTCAATATGACTCATCATAGCGCGAAAGCAAAACAGCTACCTAGGTACTGCGTACTATTTTTTACTTGAAGCATGAAATAACACGAATAATTACTCCAAATGTAATTACACTGACATTGAAGATTAACAAAAAGGGTGATCATGTTATAATCATGAACATTAAGATAAGAGATTATGAAATAATACAAATAAACTACATTAACAAATCAGGCTAGCAACAAAGATCGATCAAGAAGATTGATTTATGTCATCATCTTCTCGGTAATGGGCATGATTTTATGATCGCTTAACAATTAATTGGAAGTATTACTTGAGTACCCAGAACAGCAATATAAAGAGCAAAGATTGTTGCATTTAACAAGACTTGTGAAGTGCGTAGGAAGAAGTGTCGACGTAAATGAAAGTTCGGTGAAAAAGAAATAAGTAACAAAAGAAACTGACGTGCCTTTATCCTTAATTTAACAGATTTAAGGCGTCATAGCAGCTACACTAATACTGAATTATAATAATTATAGACAAATAATAAATGACGTAATAAAAAGTTTATGTTGAGGAAAACGATAATTAGCAGAAATTGCTGTCAGAATTTGTTTAGTATTCAATCAATATACCTCTAACGGAGAAAACATTGTTTAGTGTCGCTACATGACATGACTACCAATTTTGCTATCAAATATTTAGGTTTAGATATTAAAATATTAGGGTCAGCTTAAAAATGACTAATTTCAAGGTTGCCCATTAAAAGTGTAATAATAATGTTCAAAGAAGGAAAAAAGAAAGATCTATCACCAAACCATAATATTTTTTTTAAGAAAGTGCAGTGGTTTGTAAATATTTTTGTAAAAAGTATATACATACATATCTAAGTCTTTATTCAATACAGGGGAGAACAGTAACATATATACGATGCGACTCTTCACTCTCCGACTTTATTGTAAGGGATTAACGGATTAAGTACAGACAATAAACATGTTGAAACTAGTCGATGAATTGAAACGCACATTCAAACATTTCAAGTACATAACTAGGTACATACTAGCGTTATTTTCGCAGGTTGAAATGACTCATTTGCTCCTGGCATTGAACTAAGTTGAATAACCTCTTTTTTACTAACTCTGAACTAACTATTAATAAATTATTATTAATAATTACCTAAGATAATTATGATTAAAGTAGGTACCAATTAACTCGCAATTTTTTAAGGTCTCAACCGAATACCTAAGTATTTATATTGATTTATCTACTCCAAACTTCTATTTTGATATTCAAAACTCCAATATGCAATCTTTGTAATGATCTTAAACATTTTTATCTGCCTTTGCCTAGGTTTCTACCTATAAGATACAAAGAACTTCAATGTATGTTTTACATAGAAAACTAAAAAAATCATGACAGATTGACTGACTACATTTTGCAAGCGCCGCGTAGCCGTAGGCAGACTGTTCGCCCATTTGGGCCTCTAGCTCGTTTTACGTCATCGTAAACGGTTCAGATAAAATAGATAAGGATGATTTGCAATTTTTGCAGTACACACCAAGGTAAGCAGATAGGTAAAGAGAGATAATACTATACGGACAGAGAACCTAACTTGTATTATCATATCAGGATCTGGTCACGCAGTCGGCAGTAGATACGGTCCAACAATTTCAAAAAGAAAACTTCCGAGAAATTTTGTTTAACTTTTAGATCAATATCACCAATAGGTCATGGATTAATGTTCACGATGTCATCAGATTATTTTTGTTTAACTTGTATAACTGCTATATTCTTAGTTTCTCTTTAAACCTTCCTTCAATACAAAGGAGTAAGTCGCGAAAGATTCGATATAATAGATCAATCATTAACTGTTCCCATAACATAACAAAATTTCTTTTTCGATGGAAAAATGCAGGTGATGATGGAATGGAATTCGATATATTCCGATTCATGTAAGTGCGTATGTATAGCTGTGATATGATAACATTCAAATGATAACAATAAAGTTACACCATTTTTGTATACTAAATGCTATAGCAATATCTGTAATATTTGCTTATTTTGTTATCGTATAAGCTATTAACATTCCGCCAATTTTTGTCAGACATTTTCCTGTTCCAAAACTTTTAATTTGATTCTTAATTCTGAGTATTTGTATTACCATCGTGGCCGTCGTCGTTAACCTACTGCGCATGGTTTCACAACTCTAGCTGTACTTTCCCCAAAAGCATTTCATTGACGAATGCCATTTCGAATAATATTTACAACTTTAAACAAATTTCTTTTCTAATAGTACTAATACCCCGTTGCCGGATTTCCCGTATTTTTTTCTAATCAATGAAATTTTATCTGGAATATAGTAGGAAGAAAAGTTATGCTTACTGGGCTTATTAACAAGCGCGGTAACCAAAGCTGTTCTAAAGATCAACTTGATCAAATAAATTAACTTTATTATTGTTACATAAGAAGGTCATGTATATACACAACGAAACTACAAGTGTACTGCGTATTACATAATTAATGCCTGATTATGTATGTGCGTCATCTCCCCTTAGGTATGCCACACATTTGTAATATTATTGATAATGTGTACGCAAAATAATATTTGCACGTGTACCGCGAGTCTTAAGATACTGTTACAAATGCTCTAAATAGCATGCTAAATAGCGGTCTATTGACTATGCTCGATACAAGCATGATTATGACTACCAGCAATTTACATTTGCTAGCAATAGGCATACTAGTTTAAGTATGTTACCTATTAGTTTTAAGTATAAAAACCTGGTTTGATGCGCTTAAGGTACACCCCTTTCCACTCGCACCGCAGATAGCATGCCTAAAACATTGCACGTCTGTCGGTTCGCAAGCATGCCCGCAATCAGCATGCATTTTGAAGAACATTGCCACACACATGCTACCAAGTATAGTGCTCAATTGAAGCATGCTTTCATGCTTGAAATAATCATATGTAACAGTACCTTTAAACTGTAGGATAATTAATTACTAATATTGCCTATAATTTTTTGTGTCCAATCCTAGGCATCTGTCGTGCAAGTCATATATATAAAAATAACTAATAATATTCATCGACCAACAATAAAGACTGGTATTACATAAAATGGTACACCTGAAAAACATACAAATCTAAACTGCTTTTCGTACTGCGCAGTTAGAAGATAACATTCAGGCACCGAATTATATAGATGGTGATAACGATAACAGAGAACCAATCGGTAAGGAGCGAGTAGTGACTCGCAATATCCTGCGATGTTTGTCTATGTTTGTATCTACATGTGTACCTACAATATTATGCATACGTTATGTAGGCAGAAACATCGAGAAAGTTTCAAAGAAGTTGCGCCGTCATTCACTGGTTTCCATATACATACTTTGTATGGATGTACAAAGACGTTATATGAACGTTTTTCAACGACAGGGGAAGGTTCTATCAACTTTGTCTTCGTTCATACAAGATAATTTTTTACTCATTATAGCAAACACACCAATTAGATCTACTACAAATTAACAAATAATGACATTTAAGATAATATTGCGCGTTTCCAAGAAACTTATGCAGGATCAAATACATTTTATGATCAAATTTTAATATACTGAATGACAAGGGGACAGACGTTCATTGAACTTTGTGCGTTCAGGTGTCCTTTAAATTTTAGCTGTAAATAAAGGGGCTTTGTACGATTACAATACAACTATGTTATAATTTGCTAGGTATCAACTGGGTTTATATTATATTTGATGTTGTTTACAGTCTACTAATTCATAAAATGTCCCACCAACACTATAGTACCCACCTACCTATAAATAATAGGCTTGTCTATGTACAGTGATACGTAAGAACATGATATAGATAAGATTAACTTCAGATTTCTACTGATAACGGCGTGATATCAACTTGATATTAAAGGATGAATCGCAAATCACAATTAGTAAACATAAAACAATAGTACTTACATCATTGTTGTTGTATGGCTTCTATTCACTGTTCTAAACTTCTTAACTTTGTATTTTCTCTGACAATAATGTGTGCGGCGCAAAGTGGCCTGCTTGTTCTTCAAAATATTCACTTGCCCGAAACAAATTGTATTCGACAGAATGGTTGATTTTGGGCAGTCCGTATTGATCATGTTAATTAGAAGTTTACTTTTCTTTCGCCCTTACAGCTCTCAGTGCTTATAATCAATTTTATTCAAAGAAAATATTCGGGCGGCGGTCTTAACTTAAAGACCAAAAATAAAAATACGTAAAATAAGTTTCTACAAGCACAATTCAGCTTTAAAAATATTCACTGTGATATTTCACACTAGAAGTAGACTTCAAGACGTTTATCGTAAGATTAAATAGTTTAAAGATTGCTAAGGATCGTGATACGTGTACTTGTACGAGGTTTTAAAGTAGGAATGAATTAAACTGGCGCCAACAGGACATCTCCGCTAGTGCAAGCCAGTTCAGATTGTCTGACGCAATAACTACGTTCCGTTTCATTGCTGTAGCGCCAACCAGTCGCAATACACTTCTAGAATATTACATATCGCTATTTTAATTAGATTTTCTTGACGACTAAGTAACGACATTAGTTTCCATTTCAAAAAACAGCTATATGCAGTTTTCATGTGGTCCAAAAAGGCATTTTCAAAAATTTTAATGCCGACCACGTGGTAGTTCTGCGTGAACCGATCGCAGATTCACGTTTTTTGACGTCACATATTTTGTCAGATTTGCTATCTCTGTCTAGTACATTGCTATTTATATCTGTGTCTTTGTCATGATGAAAAACATTGTTTTCTTTTTGTTTACATTGAGTTTCCTTGCTAAATGCATTTTTTCTAACACAGAATAATGTGACAAACAAATCTTGTATGAAAATAACTCCTGGGCATCGTGGCGCTGCTATATTTGTCATCCAACCAGGATTATAGATATTGTAATAGTATGATGCAATTTCAATGAAAATGAAGCGAGATCGCAATGTGGGTTACGAACTTATTTTTGTTAGGGGCATTGATTTTTTTTTAAGTCTCTTTTAAAGTCTATCTACCTAAATGAATAGGAACCCATTTTATATATCATAATATTAGATTAATGTAATGTGCAGCAGTTTATAGGTAACTTATAAAGTAACTTTATAGTACTCTATAGATTGAGCTTTTCTATTTGTATTCCGAATTTTTACTTAGCTATTTATTATTATAGGATATCACTTACATATGCTGTGCTGTGCTACCTAGCACATGATGCTTTTATTTTTATAAAATCAGATACTAGATAAGATATTAAATTGTAAATATCTATTAGACTTCAATCTTTCTTAACAATCTTCCCATTTATTAGATCTTGTTGAGGATGAATTATTATCATTTTATTTTATTTTTGTTGAATACCTAATTAATGCGCCAAATGCTAAAAGTTTTAAATCCTTCACATAAGAAGCCAGTATCAGAATTTAGGCAACCGGTTGCAACTTGATAAAGTAAGTACTTTCCTGATAAACATGACAATTTCAATCAACCTCCTAACTATATTATTGTTATACTTAATACTTTGTCTGTAATCCACATTTGTTATTTAACTAGTTTAAAAACATAAGATGATAAAAATGAAAGATTTTATATAAGTATATGAAACCATAAGTAGTAGGTAAGAACCCAAATTAAAAAATGTTTCATTACACGTTATGTAATTAAACTCAAAAGTACCTATGTGGGTAACTAACTATTTAAAATGAGTAATAATATCTAGTACCTATCTATTAGATACAAATCTGAATTTGTTTGTTTAGCATTTAATGCCTTTATTGTTATGGGATACAAACAAGGGTTTTTAGGTATTTGGATATGAATGAGTACCAATAACAGAAAGAAACAATAATATTACTAAAAAGTACTAAATGAACTCAATTGTTTAAATTTATAATATCTGATACTATTGTATACTAGTTGCTACTCTCAGTTTCTTCTCATATTGATATTTAGGTTTTGTAAGTTTCTAACTTATAATCAAAGAGGTCTAATCACTTTTACAATAGTGATAACAAATTTAAAAACAAAAGAAATTGGATTTAGTTATTGGTCATACACACTATTACCCATTAACGTGGTTTTATATACAAATAAGATGGGTACTAATACGTAAAATAATGTACTCACATGGTTCGTTAGTAGTTATTTCAAAATGGAATTAAGTTGGATCTCGTATCTGCGACAATAATTCAGCGTCTGCGGTGGAGCTCGCAGTTATCGTTGTATGGTACCTAAGCTGACTGTGGTAAATATCTACATCTACACGCATGCATATGTACTAAGGAATGATGTGTCTTTTAAAACAAAATAAACCAATAAACAAGTTCTCTACAAGGGTGAGTCACTGTTTGTGATTTTTCAAAAGAATAAATCTGTAAGCAAGAAAGCATTAACCAATACACAGCAAAGCAAGCTAATAGGTAATGTAATTGTTGAACTCACTACCTGCCTCATTAATTAAATTACATAATATACATACAACACACAAATTAATTAATACAAACAACAAAATTTTACTTTCACGTCTTTCAAAACTATGTCACAAGATGTTAAGTTGGCGCCAAATTAAGGATTTCTTATGCCATAGACAACGTCACGAATGAAGTAAAAATTTATAAGTAAAATAACTTTATAAACCTATTAATTAAGGATCTTTGAATTTTTTTTTTTTTTGTTATTCTACTGTGTTTGTGAGTGTCCTCAACATCTTCACATATTCACATGTACCTACGCTAATCTACTAAAGCCGGAAGTTACCTGCTTGTCGCAACAAGTAGTGAAATATCTTTTAGAAAAATAACCCTTTTCCAATCTAGCTATTAAAATTAAATTGTACGGGTTCTATAGGACATGCATCTGAACTATACTGAAACGGAATTAAAGTGTTCTATTTATTTTGATATTTTCAATTTTCTATTTCTAGACCTAGTGCAAGCATAAAATTAAATAAGTAAGTTTAACAGTATTTTAAAGTTTCCAAATTGATGTTTGAGTCTTATTTTGTAGTTAGGCCTAAATGCTATAGAATCAGTGAATCCAAGAATTAAAGAACTAAGAAAATTAATTTAATTTTATGAAATGTAAATACCTACTCAGTTCAACCGTGACCAAAGACAATGGTTTGGTTTTATTGAAATGTGGTACGTCAAACCATAGTCAACTACAGTTTTTTTTTCACATACTTACAGACAGACTATTTTCATTTGTAATCTGTGGATGTGGATAAATTTTCTTCAATTTTGTGATCTCGAGTCGTCTAAATGTCGGGATAAAAAGTAAAACAAATTTTTATCGTAACACAAACAATTTTACTACGAAAAAGATAAAGGTTTCAAGTGAAGTTGTAATCCAATATTACTAGTGGTTTGTGCATCAAGTTCGGTGTAGCTTTTGCTATTTTTTTCGAGATGTTTTATTACCACGGAGACTTTGAATCGCAATAATTGTAAATATTTGCCAATTCTGCTATTTGCTGCGTGTGAAATTTTAGCCGAAGCAGTGTGAGGTAAAGACTATTGTTTTTTATAAGCCATCTGACCTTGAATCTGGTCCGATCTAGAAAGGCGAGACATGTATATGTTGTTCTGTATATAAAAGTTGGCCGTGTATCGTTTGACGCACTCTAATACATAACATATTGTAGGTTTATATAGCTATTGCTAATTAATCTGTATGTTGGTAATGCTTAATTTGATAACAAACACTTCCACTGTAAAATGTGGTGTAGAAGTAACATATTGCATATTTTTCTGTTGTGAATGAGCTAATGGAAAGTTTGTTTATGCATTAATCAGAGACTCTTAAACTAGCTCAGTCTGCCAAGCACAGACAAGCAATGCTAAACCTAAAACAAATATTGCACATAACAATTTCAATCCCTGCCAGCAGTGACCAATTTTTCCCATCTCTAGGTTTTACTTATCAAACACAACTAGGATATTAAGCTTAGTATTTTCTGGCAATCAATTTAGAAAACAGGCAGTTATGTTATTCAGTATGCAGATTGAACATTAAAAAGAAAGTCAGAAGAAATTTATGGAAACAAATATGTACCTATCTGATTACCTAAATGCGTTTAAAAGATAGAAATAAGTTTATTTCTATGATGAATTTCCTAGTACATATGTTAAGAATAAAACTTAAGAATTTGGTATTTCTTTCCCATTATTTTTGTTTTTATCCGACTATGGCGAAGCCAAATGGAGGGTTATGATTTTAAATATTAATTGTAGTTCAAGGTAAAGGTTCTAAAAAAAGAAGAGTATTAGTAAAGTTTCTGGGTTCAAAACAGGACTAGTGAGTTTAAATTGCTAGAAAATTGAATTTAAAACTGTGTAGTTGTTTAGAAAATTGACGAATAAGTTTAGATTTCCTGTAACATATAAATTGATACACCTCTGCCTCTGCTATAATGAAATACATAAAAATATTTGGTCTATCCACATGATCCCACATTTTTGTTTTGGGACAGCATAGAGTGGTTAGGCAAGAGGTTGCAACTATTGATGCCTTGTATATTTCTTAAGCCTCATACATGTGTCTATATTCATCATCAACAGCCTATAAGTGGCCACTGCTGAGCAAAGCCTCTTCTCACACGGAAAAGGTTTGAGCATTCATCACCATGCTTGCTCAATGCGGGTTGGCATGTATCTATATTAATATAAATGTATTACCAAAATGGACTCCATAAAATTGTATAATTATTTTTTTAAGCATTCCTTATACAGACTATGTCAAAACTCTAAATCGATTTTGGATTAAAATTATTTATAAATTAAGCATTAAATCCATATATGCCATTTATAAGACATTGAAATTTGGTCACAAAATAACTTTCATCAATCCATTCTTACGCCTTGACAGATTATTTTACAAAGAATTTTTAGTGACAGAACTATACTTAAGCAAGACTTAAATTTGAGTAGCGTGTGAATATTTCAGCGATAGTAGGGTCATGTGTCTAAATGTAGATCCACGTGAGACACAATGTATTTTGTATTGTCTCATATCAGTGAATTCAAGCGGTTAATATGGATTATTCCTTCCAGGTGTGTCGGCCAGGATGACGATGATAGACGGTGTTGGTGATGAAGTTGTGCAGTTTGTAGCTGTAGTACTGGTCGTCATAGTGGCAGCCCTGGCCTGGTGGTCTACAAATGCTCGGCCAGATCGATACCGAACTGTGCTTGTTATGCGCTCTAGAACACTTCACCCGGTCACCGTTAGTATCCGGACTAGTAAGTATTGCATTTATGTTTTACATTTTAAATAAATTATTAGGAATGTTTGTAAATAGAATAAGCATAAAATTTATCTTGATATTAACAACAATGTAATTCCAATTTCGAACCGTTGTACAAGATACAAAACCTTTGAAACTTAATTTCAATAATTAGGCTTTTTACCAAGGCTTGGATGATGCATTGACATGACATTATAATTATGTATTTACCATTTATTAAATCTGCAACAAAACAGGTTGTGATCTTGAGGCTGTAAGATGTTAATTAAAATCCTTTAGTTTCCAGTTCAAGGGTTAGCAACAAAACCAGTTTTTGCAAACCTGTCTCTGAGATATTACGAAACGACGAGTTCACTAGTTCGATGTGATTCTGATTAATGTGTACAATAATGTATAACATAAGGCCTTTTTGGTCTCGACACGAAAATAGTGTAGGTATAACATATCTCGATTTTTGCTAGTACATACTTAGTACCTCTACTTCAATGTAAGAGTGGACAAACCTACTGGACTACCATAAATCAGGCACAATTCGAGACTAGGGCCTAATTGAGAAATTCGAACCAAATTATTTTCTACCACCTCCGAGACATTTACATGGAAATCGTATGTGAATGTTGCGCCTACTTGACCAACGAAGCAAGCAATATGTACCTAAATAAAAAAAATATGTTGATAGTATTATCTCTTAATCATTCATGACGTCAATTTAAAACCAACTGTAGCAGATTACTTAACCTGTGTTGGAAGGCTTGATATTTATTACGACAGTCGCTTAACTCGTCGAGTACCGGTTTTGTAGACACAATTATAGAACAATAGGTTGCGGTCACCGGTGACCGCTTGGTGTTTGACAGTTTAATAAGAAATTTTATAAATACATTTTCAATTTTATCATAAAAGGATTAGGTTTTAAATCCATTAAAAAATGTGACTCAATGTCGAGACTACCGGCTCAGTCTAAAATATTATCATAACATATTATTTGTGGTTTACAGGATCAAATTTAATGATAACAGCAGCACCGACATCCACTTCTATAGCATCCACATCGGATACGGCAAGTACGTGTGTCATAGTTTTTTATTTCTATTGTAGACCGGAATGAATAAAATATTAACTCTCAAAAAATGCTCTCAACATCAAGAATCGACCAATAAACGACATAAATTATAGGCTTATCATTTCATCCTCATATCATCCACTATGGTTTATACTTACCCATGTTTTACCATAATATAACTCAGTTCTATGCATCATCATCATTTCATCACAAATAAATTGCAAATATTGTCAAAATAAGTTTAACGAAAATGTTGCTTTCCTCATCTATTTTAAAATGCAGAAAGTAGCAAAAAACTAGTTTCACTCTCAAGGCCTCATTAATAAATTATTGTTGCTGTGTTAGTCATATACCTTTGTTGACTAAACGTACCAACAACCAGCCAAGGTAAATAATATCTCAATATACACTGCCTACGTAATTATAATAAATTGCATAATTAGTACATTTTATGCTGCAGTTTAACTAATAATGAGAAATTTTAAGTGTATTTAAAAAAAAGAAAAAGTACAAAAAATGATAAATACTAATAATCTGTTTATGCTCGTTTCTTTCTATCCCTCACATCTCATGTACCCTCACCCTCAATGACTTGACTTAATCAATGATAGTTATTTCACTAGAGAAGGTAAAGATTTACAATAGATCATGATCATATAAGCACAGGCGGATTAAACCTAGACAAGCACCTTATAGGCGCATCAAGTTTTTTTGGCGCCGACAACATTGGATAGTTAGGCCCGAGCGTCTCGCGGCGCCCCTCTATAACTTGACGCCCTGGGCACAATTGCTTAGTAGGGATAATAACGGATATACACATAAAGTATAGTTTATTGCCAGAGAATGCTTTAAGGCATTAAGTCCTCCATTCACTGCAATTTTTTTGTGAAGAAGTTAAAAATGATGTGTTAGTATACCAGAAACTGGTTTAATTGAAATCTTGTTTCAAAAATCACTTCTCCGGAATAAATAACGGTAGTTGCTGCAAGTAGTTTACATCCCTGCCTATTTCTTCGGGGATTAACAGACATGGCGTGAACTGTTGTGTGTACTGACGGTATGACGGCTAACCTCATAATACAAAGAATGAGGGTGACGTGTACGTAGGTAATGCGCATGCGCATTGAAATTCGTGTTTGTTTGTTATACATAGTACACTGTAATGAGTAAGATATTTGCATTATTGCCAATAATACGGGGTTTTAAATTCAAATTAATTCAGTGTTTAATTAAATATATTCAAGGTATTGTGGACGAAAAGGGCTATTCGATCAAGTACCTATATTATCATTTTTTTCATGCTAGAATAAATATAGCAAACTTCACAAAATATTCTAATTAGTCAGTTTCCCAAATTCTAAAAATTATATTATTTCTATGAATCATCAGTTAACTAACAAGGCTAAACAATATTCAACTAATACATTCCTTATGTACTAACTAGTACATAAGTAGATATGCATGCACTCAAGGCTTGCAATTAAAAGGTTGCAATAGAAGGTAATTCGTTGAGGAAACTGGCATTGCCCTTTCTGAGGTCAGGTTTATTTACAATGAACTATATCACTGCCATGAATATTAACTTCAATGAAAAATTGCACACTTTTAAGTAAAAAAATATGTAACCATGTGATGACGGAGTGTTTCACCACCTCTTCTCCACTCGTGGGTGTATGACCTAAGGGTCTACACATTTGAGAGAGACCAGGCAACAGCGCTCTCTAATAAACACATAACATCACACCTTATATCCCCGAAGGCAGAGGTGCACATTACATCACTTAATGCCATTGTACAATGGAACACCCACTTTTCACTATTTATGTTATGAGTCCCATGTAATTGGGGGTGAACCTGTTGCTATATACCGGGCACAATTCGAGACACCGTGCTACTACTAAGATTAAAAAAAAACAGTAATAGGTACTTTGCCCAACCCGGGCATCGCTGGCTTACAGGAGTTGCAGCGGTTTTGGGAGGTTGTGGCGGGCTTGTCCCAAAAAAAAAAAAAAAAAAAACTGGCATCGAACCCAAGACCCCTTGCTCAGCAGTCGCACTTGCGACTAGTCGGGCAACGAGGCAGTCTAATAAATTAATTGTGAGGTTCAAGAATTCGTATAACAAAGTTCATACCCGTTTGTTGAATGTGACAAATTCGGTAAATTAGGCTTCCGTTTTACTGATAGAACCGAAGGCTGACGGCCATTTAAACTTCTTCACAATAAACAACTTTTGATAATGATGTTGAACATAAACAGCTTGCGACCATACGAAATATAAGCTTCATAGTTTAGAAATTAGCTAGGCCTCATCATCGTTTACTACCAATAGTGTAGAGGTGATATAGTGACCAAAGGTTGGCCCATCAAATATATAAAAAAAACATAAAAGGATGCTCGTAGGAGTAGCGCATTCGTCAGATATGGACTCATCATGATCCATCTATTATTCAAAATACATTATTCTAACCTAATTCATAATTCGCTATTAGATATTAGAATTAATTACACATAAGTATCTACTTAATAAAATATGACAACATAATTTATAGAATCCATTTTTCAATAGATCCCAGTACCACAGAAGCGACAGACGAGAACAACGCGCGCGTGATCCCTCTCCAAGAGATGGACAGCATAGTGGACGCGGACATGGCCATGTTGGACAACAACAGACTGCACTTCTACAGGAGAGTCGATTGTGAGTCCATTTTATATAGATGTATCAAGTGCCCACCGTTGGCCTCTGAGCTACGGATCCTGATTGCCAGTTAAAGCTAAGCTGGCAGATACAGAAAACTAGAGGGAAGTGGCCATCTTTTGGGATATTACAGTTTCCCAAAAGGAGCAGAGGGTGGCCACCGGGGTAGTTTTAGTGAGGTACGAATCCCACACTCCCTAGTCTTTCTCCCCAAAAAGCTTTCAGCCTTTTGACGGTATTCCCCCCTCATCAAAATAAGGTCTTACTCTTCCTGCTCGTGTCGGAAGAACCGATTTTAACACATTTCACATAGAAATAATGTCAAAATTCTATCTCTGATAACATAGATAGGTTATTGACACCAACCATATGAGACTACACATTTGCCAGATACAGCAACGCGCGTTAATAAACCTGAACATTCAATCTTACAGCCATATGCAAAGGAGGCCCATAGCAATGATCGATTACCAACTGTTGAGAATAATGAAGTAGTTAGTCATATTTAATTCTTATGCTGTTTACATAAAGTTGTAAATGCATCTACATTTTCGAATTGTTCAGAAAACATTATCTCAAGTTTGTGTACGTTCTAAAATGAGGACACTATATATTACTATTGTTATCCATGTTTGTGAAACTTGTACAACAATGTGGCACATCAAATGACGAATATTCATAGTCTTAGTTCAATGCCTAACTTTTTAAACCCTAAATAAAGTCTGTATGTTTTCTAATCTACATTTTCCATTTCAATAATATACACAAACATGTGAAGTGCAGTCATGAAAATTTGCTTTAAATTACTCATCCTTTCGTGCAGTGACATTGTACATACCTATAACAGGTACACATCCATAAGGAAAATCTCGAAACAAAAACATCCACTCAACACCACCTACACCTCTTACTGTTTTACATGATCATGCGAAAACATACTGTTAAGTTTTTATACGCATTCCTTATAATTAATTAGTACCGAAAATAGATTATTTTTTGTCTACTAACCAATTCGTTAACCAGCTTATAGCTACATATTTGACTTGAAATACCGCTGTGGCTTCACCTGTATTGAATTCAAAAGTTTTCTTTCTAGTAATTTCGGATTGTTTAATAATCTATACTAATATTATAAAGCTGAAGAGTTTGTTTTTTTTTTGTTTGAACGCGCTAATCTCCGAAACTAATGGTCTGATTTGAAAAATTCTGTCTTTGTTGGATAGCCCATTTATCGAGGAAGGCTATAGGCTATAAAATATCACGCTACGATTAATAGGCGCGAAGCAGAGCCAGTGAATCCGCGCGGAAGTAGCTAGTATAGGCATATAACCTACGTTAATTCCTAAAAAGTAAACTTTACAATAGTGAAGGAATTTTCTAAATTGGTCCAGTAGTTTCAAGGTAGTAAAGCAAACAAACAAACAATCAAATCTTTTCTGTTTACAATATTGACTATTAGTAGTGACAATGTAATGTATAATATAAATAATATAAAAAAATAATATATTCAGAACATTCGCCTAACTACTTAGATGTTTTTTTTGCTTTGGTATTTCACAAGCAAAACGATAATAAGTACACTCCTTAAGCCGTTTTATGCCCTGTTTATTTCCTGTACCTAAATGATATGATACATTTTAGAATCCCTATTAAATGCGCAAATTTTGGTGAAATTTGCCACTACCGCAGTACAATTTTTTTCAGTATTCAAGATGAATAATTTACTAAGAACACTTGGTTCATCAAAAAATGATATTCTTTTTTAAACTAATGCTGTTGGTTCAGAAATTATGATTCCATAATACTGAATCACTATTCAGAAAAATACGGACGAAAAAATAAATAATTGTAGCAATAAAAGTCTAAAGACTGGCACAGGGTGTACTTTTTCGTGGATAACACATAAGTCATTGTAATTTTAAACTATCTGATTTGATTTTTTAAAATATTTTTACAAACTGACAAATATTACCGAATAAGACAAAAAACAGAATTATCCAATATGTTCGAGTCATTCGGTGGTTATGCGTTATGCGCTTACTTCTTACATACATTATTGTAATCCATTTTATTCATATTGATATCCAGAACTTTATTTTGCAATAATTTAAACATCATTATATTAATTTTTTCCCTTTTTTAGCTGGAAATACCACGCAGAGTGCATCAGAATCGACTAGCGACGAGAGCGAACCACATGAAGATGTAGAGCCGGCGAGCAACGCTCAGATCAGGGAGATGGACAGCATCGTCAGCGCTATGGAGGCTGACGTCACCGCCGGCTGTGACTTCTTCACTCGGGCTAGTGGTAAGATGGTCTTATTTCGTACTAGCGACCTTAGCTTCGCACATATGTATTGTACATATAAACCTTCCTTAAGAATCACTCTATCTACTATAAAACATCATCAAAATCCGTTGCTTAGTTTTAAAGATCTAAGCATACATAGGGACAGACAGACGCCGGATAGCGACTTTGTTTTATACTATGTAGTGATTTAGTTAGTAACCGTTGGTTAGGCCCTTGAATCGATTTGTCACCGTACCTATAAAAACCGACTAAGGGACTGCACATTTATTGAATAATTATTTTGTAAATTATGTTTAAAATACCGACTTCAACTCCCTCTGAGTCCGCATCCCTTGTTCATAGATTTTAGTTATATTGAATTTTCATTAAATCACTATCTGGCTTAGAGGATTATAATACGGAAACGCTTAAAAATATATCGAATTTTGTAAGCAATGTGCATATTCATATTTATAAGATTACCAGAAGTAGGTTTTACACTGATTTGGAAGTCACATTTGCATGAGTTTACGACAAAAAGTCAGGGCCTTCTCTCAGCTTAGCTTAGCAGCAGTTTTATGTAAATACAAAATGTATCTAGACATTTTATAACCGAATATGCACGTGTTGCAAAAACATTTTAACTTAAGTTTATAAATTATTTATTGTTTACTTCAAATTTTTTAGTTCCTAGTATCATGCATGACATGTGTAAGGCTGTATAACTGTAGTTTACAAGGTTATAAATGCGGTTTTGCCCGCATACTGAAAGAAGAAATCAGCCTAGGCCCCTATCTTTAGATACAATGTGAAAGGAAGGCAAAAAAATATTCAAGACAATACTATAATAGTAAAGATTTAGAATGTATAAACAATGCCTCTTTACAATATACGTTTATTATTTCAGAATCAAATCCCTCAACAGTAATACCGACAGCAGTGAAAAAAGAAAATAATAAAGAGAATACACCATCTACAGCTAATTTAGAAAAACAATCAGAAACTGTACAAACGACAGATGGCGCCGGTGACGACACAAGTAATCAAGGAACGGAAAGTGAAAGAATATTGATCAAGTTGAAATATTTGAATGATACCTTGAAAGAGGTCGACGGAAGCCTCGATGAGTTACTGAAAGATTTTAAATGGTGAGTGTATTTTGAATTTTTTATCCTTTTCATAGAGTATCTTTGGTTTGGAATAGATGGCAAACGAGTAGACGGATCACCTGGTGGTAAGCGATCAGCGACTGTTACATATAAACGTAAAACTGAAGGACTACCTTACCTACCCTTCTTAGTATTGGTTGAAGTGTGACTGCGAAGCAAAATATCCGGGTCGAACAAAGTATTAAACGTTTTTTCGAAAATTTATTGAATTTGGTAAATATGGCAATAGACAATACTCATCCTCTATTACTTGATTTATTTTGTATTTGTTGACGTTTCAAAAGTACCAAACTATGGTTTAATTGAAATAAATGCTTTGACTTTGATCTCAGGAACTTGATGAAAAGGCTTACATTACATTGTATACATGCACTTCTAACTTTTTTAAAAGATGACCGGTTAATTTTTACCAGTGCTACGTAAGTTTTACCAGCTTATAACAATAACTATTTCAACATTCCAGGCGACATTTCTCCACGGAACTGACAGCGGAATGTCGAGTGCGTCTAATCTTCAACGGTCGCGTACTACTGGACGACGCGGCCACACTGCGCGCCTGCGGACTACACGACCGGGCTGTAGTGCACTGTCTCGTACATCCTAAACGGACTGCTAATCAGGTTGGTTTCGGTTATTATTTTATTAATATTTATTAAGCTAAGGATACACTAGGGGGGACATGCCGATCCGGCCGATATCGCCTGATATACGGTGGCAACGCGCAACTTATGTCCACAGTGACATTGATGTTGTCAGACATGTCGACCAACATCACGCTATTTCACCCAACGTCGCTGGGGACAAGTGTCGCAGGACATTTGTTCCATTGTGTATCTTTGGCTATACAAATACAATAGAACTAACTTTTAAAAATAGAAGGTTTCATCGCAAAACGCGATTTCTTACAGACTATCTACTGAAGTACTAGGAATAACGTATAGACTGCAACGACCAAGGAAATAACGGCGTGCCATTAGCGATAAGCTCTGAATTTATTTACTTATTTGGTTTTTCGTTTATTATTCAAAGATGCAGTTTACTTTAATAACTGTTTTAATTTGAAAAGACGAGGAAATCTTCTGAACTAGTGTATTAAATTATGCACATGTTTACAATGTTCTATTTAACTCAAAGTAAACGAATGTATGAAAGCAAGAAAAACCATTTATTACGCCACGACACACGTAGACAAGAATACAGGTACACACAAAAAACCCATGGTGCGTCGTGTAGTGGAAAAGGCCGGAGCTGAGCTACTGTGGCCCGGGCACAAATGCTCGACTCCATGACGCTGATTTTCAGCACCGCCCTGATTTTAGTAGTACGTAATAACTGGAATACTTTGAAGACTTAGAACGTTTTTTATTTATTGTTAGAGCAAATGCCATCTGATCGAGATTGGCAAAAGGGCACTATCCAATTTACTATGTTTTGTTAATTGCTTATTTTCTTCTATTCCAGCCACGTGGTATGTCGGAAGAGGGTTCAGTGAACGCGACCCACGAACTGATCACCGACAGGCCGCAGCCCGAGCGCGCCTGGGACCTCGAGAACATTCTCATGACACTCGTCTCTGTTGCACTAACCGTCGTCTGGTTCTTCAGGTGAGACTTTATTTAGTTCTATTGCTTATATAATAAAGTCTATTTTATTCTGTACATAGAATAAAATACAACACTTTTGCATGTCAACATTACAATTAAGTAGTGTAGATTAGAAAAGAAACTATCTTAGTCTCTTTTTAAGACCAGACCAATTTAAGTTACAGTGGTATAATCGTGCAAGTTGATTTTGCGAAGTCGTCGTCGTTTTAATCATCTAATAACTACGGTCCTTACTAATATACTTAAGTTTATCTAGTCACAAACACGCGTCGTTTATAGTTACTCCACACCTCCCTCTCCTCTCTCTAATAAAATAGTTCTATTCACGAATAATAAGTATACAAGTTATTAACAAGTAAAACCCATTTTCAGATGCGAATATTCGAACCTATTCACGGCGAGTGCGAGTCTGGCGTTGTTCGGTCTGACAGTATTCTACAGTGTGGCCATCTTCGGGCTCTACCTGTCCGACACATTCCACTTCGACCGCCGGCCCGCGCAGCCCGTGCCGGACAACTAGAGTACTATAGTACTCAAGACACAAGCCCCACTTGTCTAACATAACATTTGTAAATTAAGGAAGAAATACATTACAATAGCGTGTCCTGGCTAGCCAAATCCCACAAAATTCTTATGTGGAGCAACGTTCTTTTTTTTAAGAAAATAAATAGAAATGCTTGCAGCCCATTGGTGGTCACGACGCCACGCCAGAATAATGTATATCTGCCTTTATACATATGCCGCCTTTTCTACTATGTTCGTACGTTCGTATTTACGCGTTTGGATTCAAGCGTACGTGAGTAGCATCGCGGCCACATTGTCCGCGGACAATAAAAACTATTTTCTCGCAGTCTATTTATTTGTAAATGTAAGATGACGTCATTAGTGTAAGTTGGAGGACAAAAGAGCATTTCAAAAGAGCAATCGGTGTACTCGTTACGTGGTAAAATTCACGATAAGCATTTATCGTAGAAATAGAAACGAAGGATTTGTATCAAACATTTTGTACTATAGTGGGATAAATTTTTTTGTAAGACGCCACTATGCTACTCGCTACAGCTGTGTTAGAGCTCTATATATGCAGGTCATATCGCTGTATTATCCTTTGAAATTAATCAATACCAAGCGCTTATACTTTTAGTTGAATATTATAATTGGCTTAGCAAAACAGTCATGTATATAAAAACGTTGAATAAACATAGTGTAATAATTAAACAACTAGAAAAATATATAATTTGTGATTGTACACAAAATCGTCTGCAATATTAAATATATTATTATTATATAAAAGTTAAAATGTGAATAATAAAATGTTAACAATTTACTTCATACCAAAAGAATATCACGGAAACTAATTTGTATTTTTTATTGTGTGTATAAGGAGTATGTTATTCAAAATTGTTTTTCTTTTTCATTGTAAATACAACTGAAGGTAAGTATGAATTTGTGATTGTGAAATACAGAATCTGATACTTAATTCATCTTCATACATTGCACAAAACGGAACTAATAATCGAGACCTAGACTTTCCAAGTTATTGATTGATTGGACCGTCCAAACTTGAAATATTGAACTGAACAAGCAATTTTACTCTGTAATCTTGCATTCCAAACGAAATCTCTTAATTTTAAAAAGCTGTGATTCCAAATAAATGGCATGTTTTTTTATTTTAGTGCACTTGTCAATATATTTTATTTATCTCAGTCAAAAGTATCTTTGTGTTGAAACATGTGTACTGGTCTCAAAAATTGTAAATAACGATAATAGATATGAACATTGTCTTATATTTATTTAGAAATAAGTTCGGATCTTTTTGTTTGATTTTATTACTCGCATCAACTACACATCAAATTAATATTTTTCTAACTTTATATTTCCTTTCATTTTATCAAAACATTTAGTAATCAAGCTTATAAATTCTAGTTACTTATTATATATTTGGGTACCTAATCGTTTTCTACGCTAATAAACGTTTTATTGTTATTTACTTTTAAGGACATAGATATATTAAAAGTAAATTTAAATTGAAATCTATTTCTTATTTTTTATCCTCAATTTGATACATGGTTTTCTTACTTGGCAATTTAGGCGCACCTACGGTACTTTATATTGGTTTGCAGAGGGCTACATCATCGGTCTATTCCATCGACTAGACTAGGGTAAAACGACGATGGATTAATCTATGCCTTTTAATCGGCCGCCATATGCCATTGGAGTATCCAAAAGGTAAGAAAAGTTGTCGACTGCAAATGCTATATTGGACATGCAGTAGGCATGTCTTGCCTAGTGACTTTCTTTTTTTTTTGAAACGTTACACCACATTAGGATTTTGTCCTGTGTCGTGGGTGCGTTTACAAACATACAGGTTCACATGCACATTACACCCAGACCCGGAACAACAATCTGTGGATCACACAAAGAGTTGTTCCGTGCGGGAATCGAATCCGCGACACGTTACGCGGTAGTCAGTTTGCCCAACCACCGCGCCAACCGTGCAGTTTTACTTTGGGTAGGTAGCAGAGATGCAAGATCAAAACCAGTCAAGATCTCTGAAAGTAAAAACATTGGGTAGGTACCTAGACAAAATGTTTTGGTGGAAACTGCCTATAATTTTTTTTTATTTATTTTACTTTATTCCCAGCAATATCCTTACAGACTTATCCAAATCGATATTGAGGCCTCTTATATCTAAATTACAAACAAAATTTTTAACTAACCGCAACAAATGCTACGAAGTGCCACTTTAGTGAATTCACTCAGAGTGCAATAAAACATCAACGTCTTCAGCTATGAGGTTGAGCGTGCGCAGTGCGCGCGTCCCTCAGTAACTTATGATGTAGTGATGTCTGGCAAACTTTACTTTTCGTGTGCTAATATTTATTTCGGCTGTTGCAATTGTGAACTTTGAACAAAGGCCACTTTTTAAAACAGTGAAATAGGTGTGATATCGACTATTAACCCGTCGTGTGTCTTAACGTGGATTCACGTGAGACAATGTATTTTGTATTGTGTCTCATATCGGTGCATTCAAGCGGCTAAATATCGATTTTTTTAAGTAGGTTCCTTGATAATAAATTAGAAAACAAGTGTTTAGGTAATTGGTATTTATTAAATAAAAAAAAATAATAATATTTTGATCCGAAAATTGCACTTTGTCTATTGACAGACATTCAGAAGTCCAAGGGTACACAATGCACATGAAATACCTGTGAATAAAAAAATAATATGGTTAGATAAAAAAAACAACTTGATATACAATTTTGATGTGGCTAGTTTGAATATTTGTTTCTCGCCGGATTGAGGTTTACCGAAAATATAAGTAACAGTAACCTCACCTAGACAAGAATTTAATATTTCCAAAATGCGTTTTCTCGTTAACACCAAAAACTAACAAGCTATCTCATACGATTTTGGACTGTAAGAGGACTGAAATAAGATAATAATTACCTGGAGCTTTGCAGAAGAGAACTGTAAAACCAGCATGTCTGCAAACAAGAAAAATCGTCATTAAAGCATTGTTATATAAATACAATATTGTAGTAATTAATTGTTTTGTTCAGCCATCCAAGGAAGTTTTAAATGCGTGGTAATCAGGGTTGCGCATTCATAAAGCATTGTATCATCATTCAAATTTTGACTTTTACCAATCAATAAACAATAAATCCATCAGAGGTAGGGTAGTATCTTACATGTGGTAGCATCATTTACTTAGTATGGAATATTACAGAACATTTAGTTTTAGGGTCACAAAAATAAGGCGTTGTTTAGGAAACTGACTTCATTCTATGGGGGTCATTCCAAAAACATGGTATGATTGGTTTGTTGCACATGACAAGGGCTAAATTAAAGCATTCAAAAAAATTAAGGGATAATTACCTGTCGAAGTTCCAAATAAGTCCATGTGAAGTCATGATAGTCAATCTATAATACAAAAAGGTATTGTTAGTACTCAGATTAAATTAAATATTTATTTAAACTAATTTAAAATAATACTTACAGGTTCACCCAGTGGTGGTTAGTGTAGTATAAATTAGTAAAAAAAAGATATAATTGTAAAGTTAAATTTTATTAGACACTGGCTTTCCATGTGAGAATAAAAAAAATCAAATAGAAAGTCAATGGCTTGTCCGATGCAACATTTATCGCTTGCGGTGGAGCTGCAGCGTGTTGCGGCGGATCCAGGCGGCGCGGCGGGAGCCTCCCTTGGTCTGTGAGAATCTGTGACCCTTGCCCAGACCACGGGAACTGCGGCCAGCAGAGGTAAGACCACGCATCTCACGGTGCTTGTGGACAGCATTTACTATCCAGTTGATCTTGGGGTCCCTGCGGATAGCCTGGGGAATAGAAACATCCATTTAGTATTTCGTGTAAGAATGAATTCTTCTTTATTTATATTTCATGTTTAATCAGATAAAATGGTAGGTGAAGATTCAGCAAAACCTTTCAGATTGGTGCATGACATAAAAGTTCATCATATGAAGCTATTACTGTAGAAAACATCTCATAATAATGTATTAACATTTACCTTGTGTGAGGGGTCAACTAAGATGACCTCAAAGTATTTGTATGATGAATCTTGAGCCACCCAGTATGAGTTAAGCACACGCAGACCACCGCAACGGCGACCAACACGCTCCTATGAATAAAAACATAGTAATTAGTACACATTTAAGTTAGTGTTTGGTACATATATATCACTTGTGCAATTACATTGAAATTTCAACAAGAATTTGAACACGTTGCTACTACTTCAACAGTTGTAAGACCGATACCAGCATGAATGCCGACCATCAATTGAATATAACCTAAAAATCTACACATGTTTATATTGACAGGGCTTTACCTCAGCAATGGATTGCAGGTTACGTGTGGGCTTCAGCTGGTTTACACCCTGGCTCTTGGGTTTACCATAAGTGGCACCCTTGGGCACAGGGCGCTTGCGGCCACCACGGCGCACGCGGATTCTGAAGATAACGAAACCTGCAAAGATAGAAAACATTAGGACTCGAAACTTGTACGTTTAATCCACGTGTACCAACAAATTTACCGGTTAAATAACAAGTTCCTCACCTTGCTTGGCACGGTATCCCAGTCTCCTAGCCTTGTCGGGCCTGGTAGGCCTAGGGGCGCGATGCATACGAGTCAACTGGCGGTACTGCCATACTCTGACACGCAAGAGGAAACGCATAACATCGCTCAACTTTTTTCTGTACAACTCCTGAATATATCTGTACGCGCCCATCTTGGACAGGTGCCTGTGGCAGACCTAGCAACAAAATCAATACATATTGATCAGAAGTCACATCATCGGTCTGGCCACAAATAGAGCGATTCTACACGCATCATGTATGCCATATCGAAACCACTGAAATATACGAATCAAATTATAAATACACAGAACAATAAAAGATATACACTATTACTTCACTTTAACAACAAGATAAATTGGAAAATGTTGAGTGATATCTTAAATATTTTAGGATAAAAGTTTAACGTACGTCTCGCGTACTCCACAGGTAAACCGGAAAAGAAAACTGACAGAAATTACTCAATGGTCTATGGCTGGTGGGCTGGTCATAGACAAGAGACAATATTTCATAATTTTATTTTGGTTGACTACTGACATATTTAGTTTGTATGGTTATTATTTTCAATGTACTTACATACAATTTCATCTCAATTAAGCAATAAATTATTAAAGTGGAATAAGATAATTATTACAAAGAGATTCTTAACCTAGAAACAGTTTTTAAATAAATGCTTCATGTTAATGTAAAAGTAAAATGATTACATTTGTTTTGTACCGTTACGTTACCCCTTTTACCCCCGAAAGGCTTGGTAGAGAGCTTATTACGGGACGTAATGCCACTTTACAATGTTTAATGTATTTATTTATTTTAATGCATAACAAAATATTCAGGAGCGATAAAGGACATTGCAATAACATTAAACGCGAAAACAAACTCGATGCAAGATAGTTTCATTTTTTTTATTATATACGATGGGGCGACGTTTGATCACTATCTCGCCTGATGGTAAGCGATGATGCGGTCTACGATGGAGCATGTCGTCCCATAAGCAACCTATTCACTCGGGCCTTGAAGACTCCCAGGTTGTAACCTTCAGGAAATACAAACTCTGGCAAAGAAAATAAATAAAAAATAAAACGTAATTTTATTAAATTTGTTATTTATTTGTGGTTCCTCTGAAACTGGTAGTTTAATCAATGTGGACTCACTCATCACCTTTTATCATATAATAAGACCCAAGACTCTGGGCAAGCCAACCGAGGATCGACGAGTACGTTCATAAAGTTGCTTATTTAAATAATGTAGTAATTTCTATAGTATCACTTGTACATAGTATCAATGATAAAATTAAATCTAATTAAAAGCAAATCAAAGCTTACATTATAAAGAGAACTACCAATTTTTGGTACGCAATGACATTTCTGGACGAAAACAACGGTTCGTATGTTACGCCGCCATCTTGAAAGCGTAATTGTTGTCATGTTTACGTTGTGTGTGAAAGGTGAAATTTGTGATATTTGATATAAAAATCCGGTAAAACACATTAATTTTAGTAATATTCATGAGAATATGAGTTGAATAATGCGTGTTAATATTATTATGTGTTTAAAAATCATAAATGTCGCCAAAAAAAGTGCTTGCAGATTAGGCGCCAAATTGCTCATAGTCGTTACCAATTATTGTAATAAACAGCCCCTATGAGGATGTTTCGTGTGTTTGCCTTTGTTTGATGTGCAGCCAAAGCAATTGGAGATGCTTAATACTTAATTATATTTCAGAACAAAGTTGATGTAACTACAAGCCGCAGACAGTAAACCATCACTATGTTTTACGCACATTTCGTGCTGGCCAAGAAGGGCCCCTTGGCCAAGATTTGGCTGGCGGCTCATTGGGACAAGAAGCTAACGAAGGCCCATGTATTTGAGACCAATATTGAGAAATCAGTAGATGGTATCTTGAAGCCCAAAGTGAAGATGGCTTTGCGTACTTCTGGCCATCTGTTGCTGGGTGTCGTGAGGATTTACTCCAGGAAAGCCAAATACTTGCTTCAGGATTGTAATGAAGCCTTTGTTAAGATTAAGGTATGTCTATTTTGCATAAGTCCACCGATAAAAATATGTTTTGTTTGTAAACTAGAATGCCTATGGTGTAATGTAACTTGTTATTCGAGATCATCCATAGTGTTAATTGATGTTCCTAGATTAATGTTTATATTAAACTACATATTATGATATCCTTGAAAGAATCACAGTTATCACCAAGTAAGTAATGGATTGAAGCACTATATTTAAACATCTTTGTAAATGGGTCAATGTGTTATAGATGGCCTTTAGGCCTGGTATGGTGGACTTGCCTGAGGAGCACCGTGAAGCTGCCATGAATGCCATCACCTTACCTGAGGTCTTCCATGACTTTGACACCGCTATGCCTGAATTGAAGTGAGTTTTATTTTCATTTTCTTGTTTTGATTGATTAGGGATTATTATTATAGTATGAAGTAATGTTTATGAAACATAACCTACTTTCTTATTTTAGGGTCATGTATCATAATGTTAATGTCTTGATAGAGATTACTCATTGTCAAGTTCATTTATAGTATATGGATATGTTAAAAAGTACTTCTGAATATTTAAACTAAAAAAGAAATCAATCTCAACATCCTACTTTTATTTTAGTCCATTCTCAATAGGATTACTATTGAACAAGCAATCCTTTTAATAAATAATAGATACTGTAATTATAAATTTATGTTTTATATAAGTATGTGAAGTCTTTCTGAATTTAGCTTATGTCCATCTGCATAATCACAACTGCGGTTTGAAATATTATGTTCCCATAAGAAAAACAATAAATCACTTCTATGAGAAATATGAAGCCAAATTACATTAAATGTATAATTACATAACAGGAACAGTGTTTGTGTTTGCTTTTATAAACTAGGTATTTGTCATGAAAAATAATTAACATAGACATAAAGTTGTCTATGAAGAATGGTGGTTTATCATAATATAATAGTGGTCAAACATCGGCCTATCAAATATACAAAAAAATGTAATAAAGGGAAGAGTTAAGAGAAAAAACCTGCTTTCATATTTTTGTATCATACTAGTTTCTGCCGACGATTTCGTATACGTAATCCCGTTTTTCCCTGTTCCCGATCATGATTTTCGGTAAAAAGTATCATATGTCCGTCTCCTGATTCTAAACTACCTTCCCACCAATTTTCATCCAAATCAATTTAGCCATTTTTTAGTTATAAAAAGTGTAACTAAACATGATTTTCTTTTATACATATAGAAATTAATTAGGACAATAAGTTAGTAATCAATTAAACTTTTCCATTTTAGTGAAGTGGACATTGAAGCCCAGTTCTCATTGAACCAGTCAAGAGCTGAAGAGATCACAATGCGCGAGGATTATGGGTCATTGAACCTAGTGACACATGACGATGGATTCGGTGACATGGGGTTCGATACTGATAATCCTGATATCATGCGAGAAGCTATTGGCAATGAAGGGGGATTGGAACAGGTACGCATATTTTATCTTATAATAAACATAAATGATTTGTGTGTTAGAGTACTATTTATAGTTGGTAATTTGCAAAGCCATTAGAGTAAAAAGTCTCCTGTTTAAAAAATTTATATATTTTTCAAATACTTGTTGTATTTGATAAAAGAATCCAAGATAAGTTAGCATCAGATTCAGTGAGTTAATTGTTATAATATAAACAATAAAAAAATATGTAATACAACTGTAGTAACATAAAATTTTTGCATTTCATACAAATATCAATTTGATAATTTGTAAATAAAAAATTCTACAAACTTAGATAAATAAATTTAATATCTTATTACAGAGTAACCTACTGTTCGCGGATGGGTCCTCCCTGGAACTGGCTGGCAAAGACGGCGGAGTAGGCAGTCTGACTGGTGGAGTTCCGGCACTAGCGCCGGAGCACCCACGGCGCATGGAGGCAGCACCTCACGCACCCATGGATGACGGCTTCGGTGGAACCATTGGCGATGTTGCGGATTTTGGACGTGAGTGAAAATTTTTACAAATCTCACATAGCGTTAGTACCAGGACAAGTCATATGACTAACATAACAACACATAGTTTTTCTAATCTTTATTTACAGTACCTTACCAGTACCTACCAATCTTGATTTATATATATGTGTTCTTATTGTATTAAGATGCGGGCGGTCTGTTCGAGGGTGACCTGTTCGGCGAAGTTACTGGCAGCAGTAGTTCCGCGGCGGCTGCCTCCGGTATGCCTGGCACTTCAGCGCAGCCTCAGTCTCTCCAGGTGAATACTTAGCTTTAGTTCGAATTTGAAAGCTTACTTCTTACTTCTTAAAAACGTGTTTTTATGGTCATCTCTAATAGACTATCTATCTGTAGATTTCACTAGGAGATTTGACTTATACTCAATATAAAATGAGTTTAAAAACTGGCCTACTAGTAAAAAACAATACCCTTCCTACAGTTGGGTAAAAATATACAACTAAAAGCTCATAAAGTATTGTAGAAATAACAACATTACAAAATTATGATACTAATGATTTTGTTGATGTTGATTTAGGTAGTATATTTAAAATGAATGGTATAACAGGCTGAGATTGACGCGGCGGGAGTGAACGCCGGTGAGACTGGAGGCGACGTGGCGGCCGCGGACGCGCCGGACTCGGACGATGATATGGGAGACCATTACGATGCTGGCAACTCTCCACAACACAGGTTAGTTTGGTTATGGTTATGAACATGTCCATAGATTAGTTACCATGGATATACACCATGGTGTATGAAAATATAGAAGTATGATTGATTATGATTACTATAAATGTAATGTTTACGGTGTCATGTTACGGTATACAGTTTACCGTATACGATCTGTGCTGAAACTGCAGTAAACTAAATTAAATGGACTGTATCATGCACATAGAAGTTGCTAGTTTGCTACCAACACTAATCTTTATTAATTGAGAATAACAAGACTGTTATATACTTACAGGGATTACTTGTTACCAAAATTACCAAAGTTGTACTATTGTATGAATAATTTGTGTCCTGTTGTAGTTGGGGCGGGTCCCCCGCTCGCCCTGAGAGCGTGGTGCCGCCAGCGGCGCCTGTGCCGCCTTCTCCCAGCCCACATGTACCTATGGTAAGTTATTATTATTCCATTAATTACTACTGAAATCTTTATATTTAAAACTAGCGGTCCGCCCCGGCTTCGCACGGGTGCAACATGCATGTATTATATAATAAACCTTATAAACCTTCCTTAACCAAATCTAAAAAATCACTCTATCTATTAAAAAAACCGCATCAAAATCCGTTGCGTAGTTTTAAAGATCTAAGCCAGAGCTGTCCAAACAAAGGCCCGCGGGTCGCATGCCGCCCGTGGCTTGTTTTCATGTGGCCCGCGACACACATTTTAATCTCAACATCTTCATCTTATGTGTAACAACAATAATAAAATTCAGTGTATGATTTGTATACAAGTTTTGTCTGTGAGTAAAGAATACAATGTTAAACGTCATTATACAACTGAAAATATTTTTCCGGCCCTCCAGCTTTTGTAAGAAATTTAATTAGCCCGCGAGGTTATATAGTTTGGATAGCCCTGATCTAAGCATACATAGGGACAGACCGACAGGGGATAACGAATTTGTTTTATACTATGATGCACATTTGTTGTAAGAGTACCCTTATACATTTTTAAATTAAATAATCAGAAGAATATAAAATATGTTTACTAGCATTTGATAACATTTTTATCAGTGTGAATACATTCTAACGTGCATTTATGTCATGTTACAAGATCTCATAATAAGAGCTGAACCTATTATCGTCACCAAACACGATTCTATCCAGCCCTTTGACCACCTTTTGTAATGTAATGTAAAAAGTATTTATTGCTTACGTAAATTGTTCTGTTCTTTCCCTCAGGACGTGGACACAGTCCCGGAGCCAGTCCCCCGGCCAGCGAGCGCGGAGCCCGCGGCGGACGGAGCGGCCGAGCGACTGGCAGACAACACTACACTCCTGCACAATGATGAGGAATCATTCGCACTGGCTCCTGTCGACGCTACTGTCCTTAAAGGTAATATGGAGTAGCTAACTGTTAGACACAAAACGAGAAAGTATACACTTTATATGAAATAGAGATGACATCTTTGATTGACTGCACGGTTGCCGCTGTGGCTGCGGTACGTGCATTTGATTCCTGCACGGAACCACTCTTTTGTAAACCACATTTTTTTTTTATTTCTAAACGCATCCACGACACAGTATAAAATCCTGGTGTGAAGTTACGTTTTTTCTAAAAAATCAATAAAAGAAATATCTTCTGTTGTTATTTGAATGAAACATTTCATATGACACTCTAAAATGACTGTCTATTTTAATCAGGAATAACAAAAACAAAACGTAAACGCAAGCTGATTGTGGACGAAGTAAAGAACATATCTGGTGAGGAGATGAAGAACCAGCTAAGTAACACGTCTGATATCGTCACCACGTTGGACCTGGCGCCCCCTACCAGACGACTGATGCACTGGAAAGAAACTGGTGGTGTGGAGAAACTGTTCACATTGCCTGCTAGGCCTATACCTTCAAGTGTACTGTTTAAGGTATGTATTTCATGAAAATCTATCGTGTGTAAAGTAACTTAGGATGCTTTTAGTTCAAAGAAAAGAAGTCCCCTTCAAATATATCATAAAATAGGACCGTTTGCGTAACGTAGACGTCCACGTACAACTCATTGGTGCGTGCATGTCTACGCATACGCATCCAGTTTGCTTGAGTCATCGTGTAAATGAATAGAAATATGAATATGTCATTAATGATAGTGATGCAATTCTATTTTATAAATAGTTTTGAAGGGGTAAAATTAATATAATGTTTTGTGATATTTCAGAAATACCAGCGCAACATGACGCTTCGTAGCGAGGCGGAGGAAGCCGACGCGGCGGCGGCGGCCGCTCGCTCGCCCGACCCGGCCGAGCCGGCGCGCCGGGGCGGCCGCAAGAGGAGACACGAGGAGGTAAATGTCATCTGACTCTTTCTGAGGAGGAGCTGATTTAGGGAATACAACATATTTGACAGACTGGACACAACAGGCTCTCTCTCACTCTCTAAACCTGTCGTATATGGGGATTGTGATTATGTTCCTGTGTAGGGACTAATGGTCACGAGTTGTTGATGTGATTGCAGTCATTCAAGAATGCAGCACCTACTGACAAACTCTTAAAGTTCTTTCCTGCTCTCTAAAATATTCGATGATGACACATTCTTGGACTTTCACTCGCGTTCCTGTCGATTGTTTCTTTTCTATAACTTTAATGATGTATTCTAATCTAATGCCTTTGTAGACAATGCTTCCACCTGAGACACCAGCACCAGCCCCGACTCAAGAATTGGAACCTCCCACTCCGGTACCTCAGGAATATGAACCTTCAGTTGGTGAGTACAAACCTGTAATCATTCACTGCTTTCTCATTGGGATGTGGTTTGCAACGCCATTCTACTAAATAGCATGAATATTCACCATGAATCTGGTGTGGCTACCTATCATATACATAATTGGAGCTATTGTTCTTAAGAAATTCTCATTGAATTGTGGGTTTACTTACTTTCATAATCTTAACTGTAAAAATATCTAATGTAAGAATGAAACCATCATCATAATTTAAAAAGTTCCCTATTCATTTCTAACTTCATAACTACAAGAAAACTTCACTTTGAAACAGCTTTATAACCTATTCATGCATTTAAGACCTTAACCACATACAGAAAAGGTCTATAATAAACTAACCAATTTTCATAGTGAAGTTTTCTAAATAACTTGTACCATTTGCTACTTAACTGCACTCTATTAACAATGGATCATGTGGTGCACGGTTAGAGCCTGAACCTGCGCCGGAACCGACCGTCGAACCTCAAACTCCTCGATCAGACGTCGATGTCGACCTTCCTCAGACACCAGGTATTTACTGACCCTGTATAAAATATTTTGCTGTTTTAACTGATTGGATATCCTTTATTGATGTTGTCAAAACACCATTTTCTTCAGAGAAAGTGGTCTAGGGGGAATTTGATATTATACTTTTACTTTTGGCCAATACTTCTATAAACTTTATAACCGGCTAAAAGATTGTCCCTTAAGAATATCGAAAATCAATATGTATGATAAGTTTCCTTGCAGCCTTAATTTGTTAAAATAGATATAGAATTTATAAGTATTACGTCTATTACTGTCCCCATGTGCAATGTAAACATTTTGGTATTAATAGTCGTCTTTGTAATGTATTTCCCTATTGCTGAGCAAAGATCTGTCTCATTGACACCTGTGAAATATTATTCTTCACGATACTATTTACAACAAGGCTGTACATAATAATATGTTGTAGTGATGTACTTGCGTAAAGCACTGAAACCTACCTTTCCTTAATATGGAACAGTAGTAATAATGAAGTATTTTGCTGTGTAGGAGGTATGCTGAGTGCACTGGGCGGCGGTATGACTCCGGGCGCGCTGGGCGGACTAACGCCGGGCACTCTGCTACAGGGTGGACTCACTCCCGCCGGGCTACAGCACGGAGGAATGACGCCGGGTACGTACAATAATACCAAGATTTTTTATCAGTACCACGTCTTTGAGTATTGTACAAACTTGCAATGCCAGTCAGGAAGGCAATGTTTAGGTACAAGATAATCGAAACATTTGCCTTGTTGTAAGGTCATTTTTTTGGATAGGGTTACAAACGAGCAAATGGATCATGTAATTCACCGCCTGGAAATGGAGAGATTGGACCTCCAGCCACTCGAGAATTTTGATAATGAAATGAAATAATATCTATTTCTGCAAATAAATATCATTTCATTTCATAAAATATAAGACCCTACAATACTATTTGAATGTGCAGGTGGTTTACAACACGGTGGCATGACCCCAGCTGGTCTGCATCACGGCGACAGTCAACATGTAGACCTCGGACTGTCTGCGGGCGGGATGACGCCGGCAGGATTACACCACGGAGGTCAGTGTATTCATTACTCAAAAATAATCGTGCGTCATAGTTTCCACGACAAAATTATTATTTAGACAATAATCTTCATCATACTGGTAAAAAAATTCACAAACATGGAATATCGGACTATTTACATATTTAAGGATTGAAGCCGAAGTTACTATCTAATAAAATTTTTCAATAGTAGTTTTTTCTTCAATATTTACTTTATAATTATGAAGCACTTGTTTATTTATTTGTTAATACTATGAAACATTCCCAGGTATGACCCCGGGTCTGCTAGAGAGTGGTATGACGCCGGCGGGATTAGTCCATGGAGGCCTTACTCCCGCTGGTCTGCATCACGGAGGCATGACGCCAGGTAATGACTACACTTCATATTACAGCGGTATGTATATTATTGGTTCTTATATTTTTTTTTATTTACTATCTGGTATTATTATAATTTCACTAAAATCTAAGTGGCTTTAAAATATTCTGAGGTCTGGGCTCTAGAAAAACAAATAAGGAATGTTATTTTCGACTTAAAAAAAGTTCAGTATTTTTACTCATTCTTTAGAAGTTTAGACAATACGCTACAATGTGGGGTTGCCATATAATCATTATGACGTCAAAGTCAACGTCAAAATCATTTATTTCAATTAGGCCAGAATGGCACTTTTGAACGTCAAACGGCAAACGGCACTTTCGACGGTCGTTAAAGCTCGGCAAAAGCCCGAAAAATCTTAAAACCAAAATGTATTTCAATTTTTTTTTTAAACATTGCCCCATTATTAGGATTTTCTCTTGTGTCGTGGGTGCAAATATACAAGTTCACGTTCACATGACACCCAGACCCGGAACAAGTAAACACAAACTTTCTCAGCTAGGCAAATGTTAAAAGAAAGATGTACAAAACCCTATATTTTCTCTCGTACAGGAGGTCTAGACCACGGTGGTATGACGCCGGCCGGGCTACAACACGGCGGTATGACCCCCGCGGGGCTACAACACAGTGGCATGACCCCCGCCGGACTACAACATGGCGGCATGACCCCAGCCGGGTTACAACACGGTGGAATGACGCCAGGAGGTAAGAATATTATTTATAGCTACTAAATGTAGCTTATATCTTATGGCTCTCTTTAATTGACCATTAACTCAGTTTTGTCGTAGCGTTATTTTGTACTCAAATAGGTACTATTTGAGTCTATAGCAAAGGTTTTTTTCTATTCAAACCCTTAGTTCTCTTTCAAGAGTTTAGCGTGTTCAACCAATTAAATAAACTCTTCAGTATAGACCAGGACACGAACATTAAAGCTACGAACTAAATCTTTCTTCTAGCTTTTCACTCTCTCTATTTGACTATCTCTAATTTAAAACTGCAATTCATATACTTTTTCTACATGACAGGAGTACAACACGGCGCAATTCTCCAGCATGGCCTGGAGCAGCTGCCGATGATGCCGCAGTTAGGCGGGGACCAAGTGTCGTCGTTGTTACGTACCTCTCTGCCTACCCCGGCCGCAGACAGAGCGTCCCACGACCTCCCACACACTGTACCTATGGAACCCCTGCTACATGGGCTCGACGACCATGGGGACTACCAGGTAAACAAGTTTTTATATGTAAAGGTTTGCTCACTACTAGATATCGGGGGTGCTTTTGCATTAACATAATTTGATATGCACGCTACTACTATAATACATACTCAAAACAACAATTTGTGAATTACACAAAAAATATTCTGCATGAATTACAGCGCCGACAGTTAGTAGTCAAAAGACAGTTCTTACAGAAGAATATCATCATATTTTTGTTTGCAGAATGGCATGCAAATGACAAACTTGGGTTACGACGACCAACATGGCCACAACAGTCCACAACACGATTACGATTTACCTTTAACGCCAGACAACGTGAGTATTATTACATTGATATCTTAATTATTTGACTAAATTAAAAGCTTTTCAACCTAATACAGTCGGCCAAGTTATCACAAGTAAAAACTTAAAACTCTAGAGACAGGAAAGTGATATTTTAACTTATTGTGTGAAGTATACAGAGTATCTAAAACTAATTTTCTATTCTTACCAGGCGGAAGAGGGTGAACGTGAAGCAGGTGAGACGGACGAGCAGTTCGAGGAACGAGTACTGAACCGACGTGCAGCGCAACTCTTCGCCGTCATGAAACCCAAACTATCCGTCGGACTACAACTTTCCTTCACAGATCTTGCACCAAGACACAATAATAGAAAACAGGTATGTTACGTTTATGTTTACGACCTGTATCTGTATCCAAATGCCATTTAGCGCTTGTCTGTCCAAGTTGTATGTCCAAGCCCATTTCCTTATGGAATTAGGTAGAATTCCATATGGAATTGACGTAAATTTTGACACTTGTCCGTGTCATCCCCATACATTTAGTTTTCTACTCTCTCTGTAGTGAAGCGCTAAAGTGTCGTTTGGCTAAAGGCACTGATTTCGTATGTTCCTCTATTCATCTTACATCAGAATTATTACACCTACGCGATATAATAGTTTTACATTTGTATTGTTGCAGGTTGCACAGAAATTTTACAGTTTACTTGTACTCAAAAAACATCAAGTGTTGAAATTAGACCAACATGAAACATATGGACCTATTACCATATGCAAGGGTAATCAGTTTGAAACTGAAGCGATTTAATATTGTACTAACACACTATTTATAATAGAATGTAATATAAAGAAGATATCAAGACTAGTTCATAAAAAGATTTTTATGGAGGTGAAGAGATGATGTTTAGTTGTAAAGTTATGGACTTCACGGGAAACGCGTTGAGCCAAAAATAATGTGTAAGTTTGATCTTGTAACTCGAATTCATGACAGCATTTTATTCTTTAAATATTGGACCAAATAATATTACGAGTGTTGATCTCACAAAAAATCTAATTGAAATGAGTTTTGATTATGTGAAACAGTAGTTGTTATCGTGAATTCGATTTACTCGTGATGAGCAGTTTCTATTTGGATAATTATGTTTGATAGAAAAGTGTAGGAAAATGCCTTATTTTGTTTTGCTGTAGGCTAAGTGAAATTATTGTGAAGATGTTTTACAAACATTGTTTAAATAGTCAATCATAGAAAGAAATAGTACCTATTTGCTGTATTGTTGATTCCTGTTTCCTAAATCATGTATGTATGCATGTTTATTGATGCCACAACTACAAAGATTATGTTATGCCTATGACATTTATTTAAATTGTACCTCTCAAGGAAGTGTAGACATTAAATTTTGTTTTTATAAAATATAGCTTGTTGTCCTTCTATTGGGATTAAGAGATTTTAGTGACTGTGTGTTTATATACCAGATGATGTGAAATATTTAGTGGCAGACTGGAGTGATTGAGAGATAAATTATCTAGGAAAATAATACAAGTGATATCCTCAACACCAAATAAAGTTTATAACTGTTTCCTCTTTGTGTGTTAGAATGAATTTGGTTTTTACATTTCTTTGAGATATTTGTCATAATTATTGTGTTATTGTAAAACAAATTGAATGCACACCAAATACCTGATTTATTATGGTTTGAATTCATTTTGTTGCTTTGATATTTTTTGTAAAATTTCTCGATGTAATGCATTATGAATGCCTCAAAAAGTATAGTGACTATTATCATGTACCTATTATTATTTTTATTTGGACATTACTTCTTAACATTTAAGTGTTTACCTCTGCTAAGTACGAAATTAGTACATTTATTTTCCCTTTATGTTCGGAGGTATTCACTTAGATATTTTTCATAAAAAATAAACACATTTGCAATAAATTTGTTGATAAAAAAGAAAGGAATTTTTATTTCATGGCGAATTTATACTTTCGGTATCCAAAACGGAGTGGGTTGAAGTAAAAAATTAACAATTGTTTAGAATTCGGACTTCCTTATTTATTTAAACGTACACGAAATGCTGTTTTAGATTGTTTTACTGGCTCGGGGCCTGAAGGGTGGATAACGTTAGTAGAACAAACGTAGTTACGAAGTAGATATTTGCATCAAAAAATATATCGGAGTAACGACACAAGTATCCTGTTCACCAGAGGTTTCCCAACTTTCAACAATCTAAACAATAAATAAATATTTGTTATCACTAGTTTCATAACCATTCGCTTTTTAATACCCGAATACGTGGGTAGAAGCGCTCACATTATACCTACATGATTAAAAAGCCAATCAAAAAACTAAATAGGTGCAATTAATGAGGTTAGGGGCTGCTATTTCACATCGTAACGTCCGATTGGTTCGTCAATTGATGATTTTATTGATGTAAATAGAACCATGGTAGGACAACACACAGAACAATGTAACGTGTATGTTACGTATTTATGACGTCAAGGAAGCTGCAGTTTCCTGTGGTAGGTATATAGTCATTTGCTCCCAAATATTGAAAGCCTATAAGGTAGGTACGTATGTAGCATAAAGATCAAATTGTGTCCAGTATTGATCGGCATGACTGGTTTGTTATGTAACGGGCTTGTTGCAATGTACCCAGAATGGTTACATATAGGAACTAAACTTTCATTGATTCACACGTGGGTATCTGTAGAACAAAACATAACTGGTAATTTATATGCCTGTGGTTATCCTACGATGTGTTGTAACTACTTATAATAATATAGTAACGGCGACGACCGATCGATTGACCTCAAGTCTAGATAGAGGTACGTTACTAGGTTTCTATAACTTCCTAGCCTGTAAGCAACTGCTCGTATGGTATCGACTTTCGCAAGATGCATACTGCGCATGTGACTGCAAAACTTAGGGCAGCTGTTCTTTTCTGTACAATTAGGTTCATTTTACTTAAAAAAAATCCTGTTCAATTTATATTAGCAACGAGCATATCCTGTAAATAGACAAATTGTAGATTATACCACTTCCTTAGGGGTGGGTGGTACATAGTTACAAAAATCCATACATAGGATTATTTAGCTTTTAAAAATGTTGACTTGGAAGCTCCTCAGAATTCTTATTGGATTTGATTAAAATTCTTAAGAGCTGTAAAGAGATTAGGGTGATTACGACTAACTACAATAAACGCTCTTGTTGGTTTTGTATCATTTAATCGCCCTACAAATGTACATACAGATGCCGACATTCTTGAACAGGATAAACTCACAATACAAAAATCGATGACAATATTCACGCAAATATACGCAGTCACTGGCAAAACTATAATATTGTCGCCGAACTTTGATATGAGGCTAAAAGTTTAACATGATTCAGAACAATACTCAAAAAAAAAAAGTTTACAATAAATCAGGAATAGAAATAACTGTAGCATCAGAGTTACGATTTACGTACAACATTTTATTTGATTTCCTGGTATTCTACATAATTAAATAAATTGCATTCCTGATGACGCGCACTGGTAAGTGTATCACTTATACACATCAGTCCATGCATCACTATGAGGGTGAGGTTTCCACACATTCGATTCCATGGCCGTCCACTCCAGATAGTAAATCACTGAAACCTCGTCATGTGGGATGGCAGTAGTAGTGTTCTTAAAAGTAAATAGCTTAGAAAGCGAACAACAGCAAGAACGCCATCATAAGACAGAAGAGACCCATAGCCTCAGACAGGGCGAAACCCAAGATGGCGTATGAGAACAACTGCTGCTTGAGGGAGGGGTTCCTGGCGTAACCGATGATTAGGGAGCCGAACACTGTTCCGATTCCCGCACCTGTAAAACATTAATACATTTAGTTAGACACATCTCATTGTCGTAACCATTCTAAGACTACTGTTAACTTGTTAACTGAAAATCTGTGTAAAATTATTATAACTAATCTGTTGCAACAATTAGTTAAAGACTACTTAATTAATTCACTCATTATACACATAAATGATGAAAGTAACATAAAGAATAAAGACTTTCAATGGAGTGTTTCCATCTGCATCTTTTAACACAAGTGTGTTAAATCAGTTTTCATAACTGATTGAATGAATTAATTGAATGTTTGATTCATGTATTGCAGATTTAGATTTTGTTTAATCACCTCTGCTCTTTAAAGCTTCACAAAAACTAAACACAGATATTGAAAATGACAGACTTTTTTTCATCATCTGGACTGCAATGGTATGTAAAGATTACCATAATGCTAACTGCATTTAACAATGTCATACATTTGTATGCACATTAGTTCATCACATAAGTCTTTCCTGGTTCTTCCAGTCTTTCAATACACTTTGAACCCTCAACTACTTATGTAAGCAGGAACAGCCAAACTTATTCAGAATAAAAATCAATAAAGAGATGCTTGTGTGTTATGCAATCACTCATGCCAAAAGGTTAATTTATTGGGAAGTTACCATTTTCAAAGACACAAAATTGAAACAGGGTAACTTTAGTGCACATAAGTAATATAAATCTTATAAAACAATTTAACTTCATTGTATGTTATTTATACATTGTAGTTGGCATAACAGTGTTAATTCAAGTTTGAACAATAATCTTGAGAACATTAAAACTAAGCGAGAACTCTAATGAACAACACTCAATCAAAATGCTTATTAGAATGTTTCAGAACTAACCAGAGCCCGCAACTCCGACTGTCGCTGCGCCAGCACCAATGAATTTGGCAGCAGAGTCAATGTCCTTGGTGACAGCGGTGGTCTGGAAGGACCTCACCGCTGACAGCTGAGCTGGAGCAGCGGGGATGTGTGACTGTGTGGGGACTACAGCCAGTGGTCGCACGATGGCTGTGTTGTGGAAGATCTATAACACAAAATATTTTGTCAGAACACCCTTCATAACCTCTACAATAGTTACACCCTAAAAATCAATACTGCAACCAACTAAAAATAAGAATTCATTAATTATTTAGATAACGATGATTCTATGGCGCTTATCCATTCAGCTGAAATTGTGTGATAATTATTGTTACCTAATACTGGAACAGAAGTTGGATTATGTAATGATTTATTCCAACTGTGGGTAACATTGTAAGATGGTAACTTACTGATAAATAAGGAAATAAATTACTGATAATCAGTCCAATTAACCTATAAGACCGGTAAGTATAACTTCAAAGCTGAAGGAACTTACAAGGTTAAATAATAAAAATGTCATTGTATAAATTGACAAGTCCTGCAGTCGAATTTCAATTAATAATCGGTTATAATAAAAAAAAACCAAAATATACTTACGGCAGACCTGGCTGCAGGGGCGATCAATCTGGCGGCAGACAGCATTTTGTGATTTATTTAGGTGCGGCGAGCGACAACTGAAAGAAACCGTACGACTAGATGAGTTAGCTACTCGAGACTAGTGAGTCAAAATGCCTAATGATAGTCCTAAGTTTAAGTGGAAGTCACTTGACAGTTTGACCGACGACCGCAGTATGTTACGTAATTTACGGTGCTACGTAACGGAGACTCGGGTACTACAACCTAGACTACCTTGAATAGATAGTAAATTTGGTATCACTGTGCACACAATTTTATGGGCCGAGCTACGGAATGTTACCTCTAAGCAATATAATTGAATGTCGAACGAAAATGGCCGAATCGGCGAGCGGATTCCAACGGGAATGATAGAAGATCTTCTATGACAACTTACGAGTGCACAAATAAATATTAACACTATCACACACTATATGTCCGAATACGCAATCAGAACCACTTTTTATTGTATGATGGCTTCAAATTATTTCATTTTTTCACGATTAGTTATTTCACTAAATTCTGCCGCACTTACCAAAGAACACCGAGAGGGAGGAGACCGGCCTTTGGAATGTTCAATTTCTGAGTGGACAAGTGAAACAGAACACAAATGCCGCATTGCTATTGGTCGATACAGCAGTCAGTTCCGTTCAGTGCTACCAACTGCGGATCAATATGCGCGAATGATAAAATACATTTGAATCTTTTAAAATTATTTTTTTATTGAAGCCATTTCATTAAGAATTAAGTGCATCAAAAACTTTACACATTTTATATATCGCTTACTAATTTTTCAAAATTAAATTTGAATACCGTTGTAAAGTCTTGATAATGCCTACAGGTTAAATGAATACAGTGCTGCCATTGACTAGTGCAATACCATTGTACGACATGGCCGTCTTCATGATAAACATCTGTAAATTTAATGGCTGTGGCATAACATTTCCAAGATTAGCGGACTTAATTGAACACATCGAAGATGTCCATATCGGTAAATATTCAATATTATTCTCTATTACAAGTAATAGTTCTTATTTTTAGCATGTAATGTAATCCATGACCCTCCCAATTTACGTCTTATCAATGTGCCAATGTTGTCACCATTGGAGGGTATTTTTGCGTCAATTATAAATAATGATTGGATCGGCACAGCTTTTCTATTATTATTTAAAGGTTTGTTTTATTTCTTTTTAGCCTTTTCATGCATGTGGGGAGTTATTTTAGAATGTATTTTGTTATTATCGTAGCTAACTTCGGGTTACGGAAATAGTCGTCTCGCACTGAACAGCTGATCGGGACCAGCTGATCTGACTATTGTTTGTGGTAGAGAAATTCAAACATTTATTAATATTTTCTTTTTCAGATTACGATCCAGCTGTAATAGAACAGAAAGAAGCTTCACAACCAGCATGTATCCCGCTAAGTTATGTCCTAAAGTTTATCTCGGAGGCTTCGAAGCGGGAAAACCAGAACGCAGCGCCTGCTCCCGATGTCCGCCGCCGCCTCCTGTCTGCACCCAAGACTCCTTCAGTCCGCAGCAGCACGCCCACTGGTTACTACATTTTATTGTCTTTATAATCTTCATTTCTTTTTTTTGTATATTTTCATTCTGTTTTATTTAATTTTATCGTAACTATTTACATTAGGTGTGGTTTGAAGTTAGTTTGTAGCCTTATGTGGACACAATCTAATTGCTTATTGCACACACAATATGCCAGAACTGCTGTATCCTAATACACTCTCTGACACTCTAACGGTCGAAAATGCATATAAAAAAGAGTACTTTTTGCTAAAATTCTTGGTGGTACCGACCAAGATGTAACTAATGAATGCCTAGATAAGTTCTTATAGATGCTCCAGTTAAAAATGTCTGTTCTTCTGAATGGTAAGGTATTATTTTAACTACCGCTCCAACCGCAGCTCCGCCAACAATACCTACCTTAAAACTCAATACTTTATGAATTTCTTCAAGAATCATTCCATCAGTTGTTAAATCTACATAAAAATCTGTTCAGTCTGTTTGGAGTAAAGACGCGGCAGAGGACTTTTGTATAGTAATTGTATGTTTTGTATAGATATCTAATTAATTCGTTTATACTAGGAAGCGAGATGGATGAGGATGAGCTGGTCAGTCCATCTGAAGACAGCAATGACTCGTGGACGACGGCCGAAGAGTACAGCTCAGAGTTCATACTGCGCTATGGCGTCAAGTAAGTGCAGAAAACACTCCTTATAATATAATAGTAACCATTTTCTTCTTTTTATGTGTCTTCAAAGATGATGAACGAGAGAATATTTGAATAGATGAACTTTGAAGGAGGTCGTGGTAGCCTGGAGGCTTAAGACGCTCGCTTCTCATGTATGAGAATGCGTGGTCGAAACCTGGCCAATACCAATGTGACATTTCCCGAGTAATATATACTTTCTAAAATTATTTCGAATTGACAAACGGTGAAGGAAAACATCTCAAAGAAACCTGAACATGTAATTTTTAATTATACGTTTGAAATCGCTAACACGCATTAAGCAACCGTGGTGATTAATGCTCAACCTTCTCCGTGCGAGAAGAGGCTTTGCTCAGCAGTGGGCACTTATAGGCTGTTGATGTGCGATGTGAAGAAGCATGTGATTTCTAAAAACGATTTTTTAACATCGTGTTTATGCTAATATGATTTCGCGGGGTTTGCGATGTCTTGCTATAATGTTATGTATACCTGAGCAAGTTGGTCTTCAAGTTGATATCATATCTGCTGGCCTGGTATTTAGGGTTTCCTCTTGTAATAACATTGAATGAAAGCAGACGCAGATTTGTGAAGAGTAGGGACCTTTTCAAAACGATTTGTCATCGTCTTCAGCTAGAATATGTCCATCGTTAAACAAAAGTTTCTCTCGTATAAGTGCAATTTTCAAAATCCAGGCAGGTGACGAATTGCAGGTTTCGGTTACTTTAAGTCAGGATTCTGATGCCTATCCCTAGATAGTTGGTGGTAATTTTAGGTAGTAAATATACAGGTCTAACTGGGTACAACGTTTATTATATCCCATACTGAAATTGTCCTTCATTATAGGTTAATTTAATTTAATAGGATTATAATATGCTCATAGTTTGAAACCCAAGTGCTTTTGTTTAGGATGAACGCTAGCGCGTCGTCCGGGGCTCTGGGTCCCGCCGCACAGGAGAAACCGTTTGCCTGTCCGGTGCCCGGATGCAAGAAGAGATATAAGAACGTGAACGGAATCAAGTATCATTCCAAGAATGGACACAAAAAGGATGGCAAGTGAGTGTTTGAACTTTTTCGTGGAACAATAATTCTGTTGGGAATTTTTCTTCTTTTGATTTTAATGTCTGATAATCGAATGAACAGCGGTCATCAACGGTGCCTATAAATGACAGTGAAATCAAATATAATGTTCAAGGGAAATAGGATTGTATATGTTAATTCTGGGTACCTATACTTTGTCTAGATCTGAGGGCTTAGTACAAGTTTGTTTTATGTTAAAAGTAATCGAAACGTTACCGCGTTCGAAGCTCTGATTGGTTGGTTTATTGGAGCCGGCCGATCAGAGCGCGGAACGCATACTCTGAGGGCTTAGTACGAATTTTGTTTTACGTTTAACGAGGTCGAAACGTTACCGCGTATAGCCCTGTGATTGGTTGGTACATTGGAACAGGCCGATCAGAGCATCGAAAACTAACGTTTCAATATAGAGTCAGCTGATCTTTGGTAGTTCGGAAAAAGTTATACCAATAACATGAAAACAATACTTTGTATGTTCATACCCTCGATGCAGAATGTACAATCATTATGCCTGCATAGATTGTACTATGTATTTGAATGTGTGTCAAGACCTTGAAGTAGTAATTAATTCGCGTCTACTATCTGTCTTATTGGATTGTTTTATTAGTCCAATACACGCTATAGGTTTTTGATCTCTTATAATGTGTGTTAGAAGGATGTATCGTCATAATTATTTGTCTATCCCGTGGTTTAAGTACTTGCCGATGCAATGCATACGATTCGTAATATGATGCACGCAATAAGAGATTTCCTTCGATAAATCATACTATATTTGTTACCGACATGAATTGGTTTAATGTCCAAATTGGATATATGATCATGATTCACATACCTTAGTTTCTTATACAAACTGTTGATTTTGGCGAATTTGGAGAATTATGTATTTTTTAAATTCGTAGTCTTTATTTTTGTGTCAGATATTCATATTTCTTCAGTCTGTTTTTAGCTCTATTAAGAGGTTTTATCTGTTTTATTATTTCAATAGAAAATACCCAGTACTTACGCTTCCCGACCAGTACAATAAAAAGTTTATAACTGGGCCCAAGAAACGCCTCACTGCACAAGAGTATTTCTGGAAAAAATGGGTACAAGTCATAATGTGTATTTGTAGACAGAACCGTACTTTCAGTAGGATTCTTTGAGTCATGTCATAATACGTAGAGTCCGTAGAACAATTTATTAGTTAATTATTTGACAATAGGGTACTAGTACTATGCAATATCCACGTAAATCGTTAGTCATTAGCATAATTGAAGGACGATAACTTTGTTGATAGTGATAAAATATGTAAATTTATATTGGCCTAGCTAATTGTGGTCGCTTTATCTGCACGTAATTAGATCGGTATTCGTATGAATCAATAATTTTATGTGCTCGTACTAAATGAGTCTGTGAAATGTTCCAGGGTAAAAAAGGGCTACAGATGCCCATGCGGCAAAAGCTACAAAACGGCGCAAGGGCTTAAGAGTCACTCGATCACACAGCACATCGCGTCGACATCAGAACACAAGTTGCACGCGGCTAAAATGACGGGGCTTGTGGTGACCAGCTCGCCGGCTCAGTCGAGGACCCTGAACCTGTTAGATGCAGTGGACGGGAACAAGCTGGTGCGTATCTATGACTCGCTGAAGGGGTCGTTGCCCAAGCACGCGGCAGTGAGCGTGGCGCCGGGGCCCGCCGTGCTGGCGCCGAGCGCGGCGCTGCTGGGCGCGGACAAGCTGCGCCTGGAGCGCGCGCCCAAGGCGCCGCCCGCGCACTCCGCGCACCTCGCCTCGCTGTACGGAGCCGACGCGCCCCACTGAGTCCGCGAGCCTCCACTCAACGAATTTAAGTCACTAGTATAGTATACATGCAGTTCCTAAAAAAAGTGAAAAAAAAAGTTCATTTTCATTGAATTAATTTATTTACCGTCGTCATATGAAGGTGTGTACCTATGTGTATATCGTTGATTGTGCTTGTGCATGCTTTTAATTTATATCATATTTTGCACAAATACTACCCATCGCACCTTCGTCTACAGAGGTAGGATAATTGTTTCTCAAAGAGATAGGAGAGTTATATTTATTTGTTTTTGTTTGTTTGAGATTTTATGTTGATTAGTGAGTATTTATAAGTTATTGGAACGCTAATTTTTGATTAGCTTCGATTACAAGGAGATGCGGTGGAGAGCCAATATTATTTGATTCTGTTTGTTGATCGAACAGTTATTGAGTTTAGCAAAAGTAGTGATACCAGCTTGTATACTATGTACATAATGTTCTATCGTGGTAGACAATGTTGGTCCCCGTAGTTAGCTGCGACGGCTGTGTGATCTGTCGGACGCGGTGTCGTACGTCAGATTGTACAAATACAATGTGTGATGTACTGGTCAAGTGTATGTTAGTGTCCCCGCTCGATTATTACCTATATTAAATTTTCTGTGATCTCTAGCGTCGGGGATTATGATTGTGTGTGCTGTAACTTCACGTGAATGTCGTACGACATGTGTTACATCGTACGACATGCCTTCGTATCTCTTTGTGCCATTATTTCTAACATGTGTACTTAATCGTATATTTCACGCGAAACGCTTTACGTTCATAATGGTTTTTTTGATAAGATTTCACAATGTTAGATTTTGTAAATTAAGATAAAAAGAAAACAAAGAAAAAATAGCGTTCACTTAAGTATCTTTTTGGAGTTAGAATAAAAGTCATACTCGTAAATGTGATATGGTATTTAGAAAAAAAGTAAAAAAAAAATGCTTATAAGCGTCACGTATTTAAAATACCTAGTTTTTAAGGCTGGCAATGTTTGTTTGTTATTGATATGGTAAAATGTACGCTAAATGTGTAGGTTTTGGTGCCTTTTTTATTTATTCTTGGTTTTGCAGTGCAAGTACTGATCATACGTTTTTGGAACTTTAGTATAGAGATAGTTTTGTGGCAAAATAACTGGTTGATGACGACTATTAACTGTTTCATGTTAACAGGTATACAGTACCTAGGTACTTCCTTATTTTAGAACTGTCGGTTCACAAAAGGAGCTTATATTGTAGACGAACTTTGCTACGATTACGTACCAACAGATAATATATTTATTCTGTTTGGCTATTTATCTAATACGTAATAATTAAAATAGCCGCTTTAACATGTTCCTAACATAGAAAAAACTGACTAAAAATAATAAAAATGATATTTTAAACATATAAAAATTATTATATTATACAATTATACTCAGATTAAAGTAGATATGTAATCGTAGCAAATGTTCTTAAAAAACATTTAGTTAGGAACTATCAAAATATATCCTTTCGAAATATTGAAATAAATGGCTGGATAATGTTAGGAGAAAATCGGTTGAGGTGCTACCAAAATAGTGATTTGGCATAAACTGTGAATGATGTTAAATTATAGTGTCTATGTATGTATGTATGTATGTATGTATGTATGTATGTATGTATGTATGTATAATGGTTCCAAAGCGAAATTATATATAAAAGATAAAGATTAAGATTAGTATGGTCACGGTGCTTAACGGGTAAAACGTGTGATATTTGGATTATTAAAGTATGTTAGTGCGACTACCAAAGAAACGACATTTCAACTAAAACTACGATTGCTATTTTTCGCATATATTAGCTCAAATACTGAAATGTTTTTCAATTTTAAGTTGACTTTTAATATCTTTATATCTCTTCACTTAAACTACATCCGTAGCAGATTTATAGAGATTTGGAGTATTCGGTTTAGTCACGTAATTTATCGAGGGTGCTCGACTCGTTTCGAACCACGCCCGGGGCTCATAATTAAGACAAAAATGCGGTATGACATCCTGCTAGCAAATGATATAGAAATAGGTTTTACAGTTATCTTAAAATTGAGTATATTTCAGTGTTCAAGCGTGTTTCACAACCTTGTCTTATGAACGAACGATACGATAATAGTGTTTATGAAAAAATAATGGTGTTTTTTGTTTATTGTGCCTTACTGTTATCCCTATGTTTTGTTTGTTATTTAAGTGCATTGTGCAGGGTGGAAGGGACATAAAAAAGCAAATTGAAATATTCACTTTATAGGTAACTATTTGAATATGAAGATTGTACCTACTAATCTTAAAACAGTTGTTATTTTTACTATGATTAATATACAGTGATATACAACCAAAGCTGTTATTTTTCGACTGCTCCGTTGGCTCGGGTTCCGGGTTCGATTCGCGGGCAAAGTATTACTGGGTTTTAAAAAAATCTCATTTGTAATGGTAATAGGCTCATACACTATTACAAGGGACTGTGAAAAGTGGGTGTTACATTGTACATTGCCATTAAGTGCCGTAATGTACACCCCTGCCTACCTATTCAGGAATAAAAGGCGTGATTTTATGTTTCTATTTTTACTATGATTAATATACAGGGATGTACATGCAAATATATATGACCAAAGTTATCATTTTTCTAGGTTACCAAAATTGGAGGGAAATGTCTATCACTGATAACTAAGTGCTGTGTAATCTTACTAAAGAGAATTAGTATTTGTGCTGAAGCTATGATTTCAGTTTGTTTTTTTATACCATCCTTTTATAAAATTAAAAATGTCGTATTCAATTGAGGGTGTTCAAAGAAAGAGTGGGTTTTGTAAACTGAATGTGACTGATGAACATAAAATGGAACTTATATTTCAGAAGATATTTAAGATATTTTGCATTCGGTAAAGAAACCCATTATTTCGTGTAATTAAATTTTAACTGTGCACTTGAATGTATAAGATTCATTTTACATTGCCACTTAATAAAATGATACTAAATGTTCAAAAAGAAATTGTGCATAGCATATTGCACTTTATATTCAATGTGTTAAATTCAAACTATATTAGCAACTATAGTTTCAGAGATTACTAAACTAGTAAGTATATTAAAACGGTATTTTTTCACAATTAATTATCACAAAAATGTACCCTACGTTATGTGGCAATGTAAATTGGGTTTTAATGTATAGGCGACTGGGTCTACATTGATATAACCTAATTAGGCTATTTCACGGGGTACCAGTCGCTTGAATATTAAAAAGAAATGATAAATGTGATCTAACCGACGTGATATGACTGGGGATGAAGGCTGCAAATTAAAAGATTCGCGATATAAATAAAAATATTATAAACTACGTACCCGACATCTTGCGGCAGTTCGGAGAACTAACGCATCGGTTACATTCAAATTATTATATTGCTATTCGCTAAGGGGCAATGAATAAACACGATGAGATGGGAATTTGAAGTTTAATACCTTTCAATAATGTTCAATTCTCATTGACTAATTGGCATGGCAAAAAATTACTTGGCGATCAAAATATTATTAGTCGTTACTGGAAAATCAACTTAGTCTCTAAAGAGATAAGATCATTTTTAGTGGACAATAACAGTTGTGTCTCGTCTCATCGGATTTACTTTAGTTCGTATAATGCCATTATATGAGGCAACTATTAAAATGACGTGTCGGGGGAGCAAAGTATCTCATGAGTGTTAAAGTTGTACTATTCGAATCGTTCATTGATATTGTAGTCGATTTTTGTTTATTTGGAAACCAATACCACACTATTTTTATAGAAATGGTCGAGATACACTGCATAGATTCGATCTATCAAGATTGTCATAATGGGGCTGTCTTTATAATATCGTTTTTTCTTAAATAGCACCTATTTCTACGATTTTTGTTTAGGAACTTTTGAACAACCTACTAAAGTAGGTTAATATCAAAATCTGATTAATGGTTTAACAAAGCAAAGAAGACAAACATTGATTTTAATTAAACATTAGAAATACCTATATTTAGTTTAGTATCATGGTCTTCCGAATTACAGTGGAATATTTAGTAAAAGAATACTGATATAATTGTAAAAGACAGAAATTAATAAATCTCGGCCATATTAAAAAATAAACCGTGTCACTTCCATAATTTTACCCAAAATATGATACGATCATTCGATTCCATAGATGTGACGTAGTTTTAATGTAAACGTGTTTAATGTATTAATTGTAACATTAAAATAAAATTTTAAATAGAACATTATATTTCCCAATATTTGATTTGCTTAGAAGCTGATGCTGGCTTCAAATTATTAACTGTTTGTCTGTCTGTCTGTCTGTAGCATTACTTTATGTACCTAACCAAAGTATATTTTGATTTTCCTTCAAACATGTTAACAAACCTTATTTTAATTAATTTTGAGTTCTATGTCTTAGACTCATAAGTGTCATTTTAATTTAATCGCATCTTAGAATCAGATGAATCATTTTAAGTGTCCTAATTGCAATTTTTTTGCAGTTACCATCGCTCTTATTCTAAATGCAATAGAAGTAAAAATTGATTGATAGAATTACTAGTAAGGTTTGTTAAAGTATGTTTACAGTGAAAAATATAAATTAGTTATGCACATTTCGTAGATCTAGCGTATTGTAAACGCAGTCTTATTGTTATGTGGATTTATTTTACTGTCGGTATATGCTCATTTTAATATTAATATAGTATCGTCTTATTATAGTTTCAAAGAACATTGTTAGTCATGTTTAATTTAAGACTGATAGTTCGATTATAGATTTATCTCCTTAATTTATTTTGTGTGCATACGTAGAAAGACATTTTTTACTGTGAAGAGGATTACAGTGTAAATGAAAGTAATGTAAAAGTTAACCAATGAAAATGTGAACTAGAATTATGCAGACTGTTTGGTCATACATTTTAAAAGTATGTATGACCAATTAACTGATATATTATTATTGACGTTGCTCTGTACTATTATTTTGCCAGAATTGGGAATTGTACCAATAATGGCCATTTACCTGCAATGGGGGCTACCGTATTTTAGCTCACCATGTGGCGTAAATGTAAGAAGAGTTTTGTCCAATTGCAGCAGCTATCAAATATGATGTGACACTACCTAATCTCCTATTGGACGAACGATGAGAGGTTCACACTAGCGTCGTCTTATGCGCAAAAATACGGTAGGCCCCATATAATGTACCCACGGCTACACATCGAGCTTTACATAACCAGTATAAACTGAACGTTAAATGTGCGGAAAGATGATGCGGCGCGACACCAGGGTAAACTGGTTTTGTATAGATTGATGTGTGGCCGTGTGTACCATGTTGTTCTAAGGTATATATTTATTTTTGATAGAATTGAGAATTGAATTCTTAAAGTGTCTATTAGACATAGACGTGTTGGACAGTCTGCATAGTTCTAAAGATGTAATGAGGCATTGAATGTCTCAAAATTATTGAACCGTTATTTTTAAAATGTGTCTAGTCTCCAAGAGTAAAAGTTAGTATCGAAGAGATTGAGATCTGTGTGTGTCAATTAGAAGAGAAAGAGAAGTGACCAATTTTAAAGTTGTTGATTAGGATGGATAAAATTTGAAGGAGTTTTGTAAGTCATTTGGTACACAGTGAAACGCATGTCGATGATATCCTCAATGTGATTATTTTAACAGCTCAAGAAGTTTTCCATTCAATTTAATACATTTGATTTTTTAATTAATTATCCGTTAATGGTTGTGAATAATGTATGATTTGGTCGGTGAAGTCATATATCTGTTTTAACGGCAGCGACACTTACCTCTAGCCTTAATAATTCAGGGACATTGGCCTTATTTTTACCGCGCAAGCTTCAATTATTTCTGCTTGTCATAAAAAAGCTTAAATATTTGATAGTGCTGCTAAATAAATCGATAATCATTTATGATAATACGGTGTCGCTGCTTATCGACTATCGATGTTTCTAGCTCTATATGGCTGTATCAGTGTGGCTTTGTAATTGTATGTGTAAAAGCTGACATAGACTATAGAGCACCGACTGTCACTGATTTAAAAATAAATAAATAATATAAACGTGGATGTCAGTGTCCCTTTGTATTTGCCAATTTAATTGATTTTATTCCATGTTTATAGTGATCCTTTGACATGTCTCCAATGCTTTTTGTATAACTAAGTTCAATGTCTGTATAACTATTTAATATTATATTCAAGTTATATAAATGTCAAAGGGTTGAATATCTTTCAGATATCAACATGAATCTTTTATGTATCAATACGGAGATGTAAGTCTGTTATATAACAATAGTAATTTCCTACACGCTTACCATAAAATATGTAATTCTGTATAATATGTACTAAATAGTGCGCAATACCATGTAACGCATGATTACTTCCATCGTCATGATAATAAAAGCAAACAGCAACCATATAAATTGTTTTATTTAAATATAAAATGGCATGTTTACAAGCTTATTCAATAAATACAGGATAATATTAATCAATACAGTACAGTGCATAAAATAAACGATTTGCTAAAATATAATAATATACATCTTTAGTACCTTGAGAATATATTTATTGAGGGCTTTCTCTATCCTGAAAATCGGTTACAATTAAAACATTAATTAATAAAAGAAGACATTTTTTACATATCTACACGAAAAAGGATTAAACTAAAAAAAAAAAACTTCAATCCACTACCACACCCAAGGACGATGAAAAAGGACCAGACCTAACCCGATAGCACAAGGGGCACACCTAACCCTGCACTGGCCGCTGAGAATTGAGGTCATTCAGACCCCTCAATACTGACACAAACAACGCAAATGGGACAAAAATACGTCGTATTTATTTGTTCTAAAGTCCTAGTTCATAACATTGCAAGAGATGTATTAAAGTGGGGGGTAGAAAACATATTATAATTTATGCTTGAGTGAAAATGTACTACGGTAGCATAAAGCAAAATGAGTTAGAAGGTAGTCGTACTACGAGTATTATGCAGCGGAGAACCTAACGGGTTACCGGGGCTCCGGTTCGAAGTGCTGGATTAGGAACGGGGTAGTTTTTAGTCAGTAAGAGTCTGACACTCCCTCCCGCCTCACCTAGGTGGGAGTAGCCATTCGATGATGTACCCCCTTAAAAAAAACTACGAGTGTTATGAAATGTCATTCATTAATATTTTTACTTGCAATATTAGTGGAAAGTATTTTTTTTTGTTTAATCCTTTATGTAGTAAATAGTAAAAATATGTAAGGCAACGTCTTTTAATTAATCAATCGTTTTAATTTTAAAAGCACTTACATTACATTCGTATTACATTATACATTTATATTGGAGTTCTTAGGCATCAGTGGCGTTTCCTTGTCTATGAAAACCCTAACTGAACTAAATAAAAAGTTTTTGACTTAGGTATATTTGAATAGTAATTTCAGCCTAACAGTACATTATAGTATGTTT